AGATCTGGGGAATTGAACCCACAGCACCCACATGGAGCCCAACCACTGGACCACGGAAGGAGCGGTGCCGGGTGCTTTGCCTGAACAATAGTTAATTAACGTGGAACACCTTCTTCGGGCCAAAAAGCAAGGGACGCCGCAGATTCAATCCAGGACCACCAGCCATCTCATCAGTTTTCGCAACACACAAAGGGAGGATTTGAACCCACAGCACCCACAAGCCAGACCAGTAGCGTAACCACTGGACTACACAGGAAGCTGCTGAACTGGCTGGCCCAAATAATATTTCATTAAAGTTGAACAGTTTCACGGGCAAGAGGAAGGGATCACGAGACCCCCATCACTAGATTTACGGAACCACAGAACACAGACAGCCTGTAGGGCAGCGCTCGTCAAACCCCCCCACAACCTTCCCAGCAGGATGAAGGGGGATTTGAACGAGCCAGCCTCCTACCCCCTCTCTGAAGTCTAACCACGGAATCAGAGAGGGAGCCGCAGCCTTTAACTGGGCTCAAGGCCCTTCAATTAAAGTGTAACAGCTTCAAGTGAGGGTGCTCCCGTCGCTGTAGCCCAGGACCCAATGATTAGGGCCCTCACCCGGGCGGTAGGTGAGCCCTTTGCAAATCCCTTGTGCTCATCAGGCAGCGGGGAGAGTTAAGAACGTGAATGGCCATAATGCAACAGACCCATGGCCCAGCTAGCCCACTGTCCTGCTTTCCGACAGCGGCCAATGCCGGCTGCATCAAAGGCAGTGAACAGAAGAGGGCAACTCTCAAGCGATCCGTCCCGTCGGGCCCCCCTCCCAGCAGCTGGCCGTCAGCGGGCGAAGGACGCCCGGACCACGGGGCTGCGTCCCTGACCGTCTTGGCTAATAGCCACGGATGGACCCATTTGCCACAAACTTTCTCAGTCTTTCTTTTCGAACCCACTTACAGTTTTGGCCCACCCCACCTCCACCGGCAACCACTTCCACAGGCTGAGCATGTGTTGCGGGGCCAAGTACTGCCTTTGGTTTGGGTTAAAGCTGCTGCCTGCTCATTTCAGTGGGTGACCCCGGTTCTTGCATTGCGTGAAGGGGTAAATAACACGTCCCGATTCCCCTTCTCCACCCCAGTCGTGACTGGCTAGCCCTCTGTCAGATCCAACCTGAACCGTCTCTTTGCCCAGCTGAACCTGAAGCACGCTCCCCCCCACCAGCCTCCCTCACAGGCGAGGCCCCAAACCACTAGGTTAAAAGTTACACAAGGGGTCCTCTGCCTCCGTCTCCTGGGCTGTTTTGTGGGGCGTTCGGCTGGTCCCTAACCAGCTCACGCTAAATGGTCCCTAACCAGCTCACGCTAAGTCACCTGAGGGGTTCCTGGCCGTGGCTGGCAAGCAGAGGGCGGTACCTGGGAGGAGAAGACGCTGGGTTGATTTCCGTCTCCCCACCTGATGGGCGCCGGGGAGTTGAAGAGGGCTCTGCAGTCTCTGAAGCGTGAGCTCCAATACTGAAGTAAAGGATGGCCTGAGGAGACTTCCTCGTTGTAGCTTGTCGGGGCTGTGCCACTTCCATGAAGTGGTAAGGGGCCAGCCTTGCAACATGAATCCCTCTGTAGTCCAGTGGTTTGGGTACTTACCCAGTGTGTGGGTGATGCTGGTTCAACTCCTCCCCCAGCTTGCTGAGGAAGGACTTAAACAAACAGCCATCTCCCTGTTCTCAAGCGAGTATCCAGCTTCTGGACTAAGAGGGATTCTCCTGGGGCGCTTGGGCCCCTGTCCCCCTTTTTTTCCTGCTGAAGCTGTTCCACTTACATGACATATTTATGGGGCCACCAGCTCACCTAGCAGCCCGCTGTAGTCTGATGGGTGTGGTGTGTGCCCAGCAAGTGGGAGGCTGTGGGTTCAAAGCCCCTTTCTTCTTGCTGAGAAGGGATCTGAACTCCCTCTCAAGCGAATCGCCTAAGTGCTAGGCTCGGAGGTTTTCCCCTGTGGGGGCTCTCTCGGTCTTTTCTGTTGCAGGAGGGCTACATTCGGTTACATTATTCACTGGGGCAAAAGCAGAGCCACCAGAGTTGGGTGGTCCAGTGGTTGGACTCTGTGACTTGCATGTGGGAGGTTGGTGGTTCTCATCCCCCTTTTTCTTCTTCTTCTTAAAGAGAAGGGAGTTGAGCATTTGCCTCTCAACCAAATGGCCTAAGTGTCTGCCTAGGAAGTAGTGGGATGTGGGCTCTCCCTCAGGCTTTTCTGTTGCAGGTTGGCCGCTTTCAGTGCATATTACATGAGAATTGGGAAAGCAGCTCCCTATGACTCCCTGAATAGTCCTGGGGTCGCGCTGCGTGCCCTGGAAGTAGTAAGCCGCTGGTTCAAGCCCCCTCTTTGTTTGTTGAGATCAAGGCTTGGGAGCTTAATCTCTTGCCCCGCCAGTGTTCCACTTTCACTATATATTAACCGGGGCAAAGGCAGTGCTCCAAGCCCTCTATGGTACAGGGGTTAAGGTGCTCACCTGCTGTGTGTGTGCTTCCGGTTCAACTCCCTGGGCGTCGCTTGAGACGGGAGCCTCAATTTCTTACCGCTCCAGCCTTCCACTTTAACTATATATTAACCGGGGCAAAGGCAGTGCTCCAAGCCCTCTATGGTACAGGGGTTAAGGTGCTCACCTGCTGTGTGTGTGCTTCCGGTTCAACTCCCTGGGCGTCGCTTGAGACGGGAGCCTCAATTTCTTACCGCTCCAGCCTTCCACTTTAACTATATATTAACCGGGGCAAAGAGAAGTCTCCAAGCCCTCTATGGTATGGGGGTTAGGGTGCTTGCGTGGATTGTGGGTGACCCTGGTTCAACTCCCCTGGGTGTCGCTTGAGACGGCATGGGGAGCCTCAATTTCTTACCGCTCCAGCCTTCCACTTTAACTATATATTAACCGGGGCAAAGAGAAGTCTCCAAGCCCTCTATGGTACGGGGGTTAGGGCGCTCGCTTGGATTGCGGGTGACCCTGGTTCAACTCCCCTGGGTGTCGCTTGAGACGGCACGGGGAGCCTCAATTTCTTACCGCTCCAGCCTTCCACTTTAACTATATATTAACCGGGGCGAGCTAAGCTCTCAAGTCCCTCTATGGTACGGGGGTTAGGGCGCGCGCTTGGATTGCGGGCGACCCTGGTTCGCATCCCCGCTCGGCGGGACAGGAGGGCCTCTGGCGGGTGACAGGAGGCCCCTCCTAGCTGAGCAAGAGGCCCGGCACAGGGCCTCTTGCTTTTTTAATTAAAGAGGCAATGCTGCGCTACAGTAAAACCCCCCTCTCACTCTTGTCCACCCTGGTCAGGATACACGCCCAGGTTGTGGCAGACCCCAGGGCACTCCCCTGCTCTTTTGAGGGGTGTGAACTGGGGGCCGCCACCTCCTGGGGAGAGTCGCTGGCGAGCGATCCCTGTCCGAATCCCCTCTCCGTCCCAAGAAGACAACGGCCTCTTGAGAAAGAGAGGGGCTTCGGACAAGGATGGCCCACCCAAAGGACGGTCGCCTAGGAGGCAGGAAATCCCTGTGCAAATCCCTGCTGAACGGGCAGCTGGGGGATTTGAACCAGGATCTCCCACAACCCAGGCGAGTATCCTAACCACTGGACTAGAGAGTGAGGGTAGCTGTGAGGCTGGCCCAGAGCCCATTTAACTAAAGTGGAACAGCTTCAATGGGCAAGAAGAAGGAGGCAGGCAACCCCCTCGCTAATAGAGAAAGGTCCAGGGACACACACCAGGGAAGATTCGAACCCACATCTCACACACCCCAGGCATCCAGTGTGACCATCAGCCTACAGAAGGTGTTGCGGTAAGGAGAGGCCCAAATACCATTTAATTCAAGTGGAACAGCTTTGAAAGGCAAGAAAGGAGGCACCCGCAACGCTACCCAGGGAGGTTTGAACTCACATCTCCTCCACCCAAGGCGCACACCCATCAGCCTACAGAGGGAACTGGGTCAGCCTGAGGCCCAAATACCATTTAATTAAAGTGGAACAGCTTCCACAGGCAAGAGAGAGGCATCCCCACCCCCAATCACAGAACTCCAAAGGTCTGGGAACACCTACCAGGGCTGCATTTGCCACCTCTCCAAATCTCTTCTTAGTATAGGCACTTAGGGCGATTTGCAGCAGGGTCCCCCACAGCCCTTGTGAGGACCCTAACCATCGCACTAAAATTACACAGAAGGCCTGTGCCTCCTTCCCCCTCTGCTCAAATCTGTTTTGTATGATCTTCGGCAGGTACATATCAATCTGACACAAAATGGTTCATGCACCTAAGTCAGCTTACTCCAGGAGGGGTTCCTGGCTGCAGATCACAAATATATCTCGGTCCCAAGCTGCCTAAAAGGGTCAGGGCTTAGCACCGCCCCTCTTCTTGGCATGTCCCAGTGGCTAGCTTCGGCAGTTCTGTGACTGTCGTTCTTGTTTTTATGTATCCCATTCTTTGGTACCTGTCTCTGCCCCTTCCTCCAAGACAGAGTCCAAGCCCCTAACTCAGGCATTGGGAATCCCATTGTTGTTCCAATGATTTTCTAGGCATCTGGAAGCCAGGGCAATGGTGAGATTGCCACATCTATACCCCTTTGTGGGTCTGGTCCACAATGCTGAGACAGAGGGGAGCGGAGACAGAGTATACTTGGTCCATATTACAAGCAAAGAGCACTGGGAGGTAAGGGAGCTGAGAACAGGCATGCCAGGGGCATGTAGTCCTGAGACCAGTGGAGAAGAGGGATTGCTGACAGTGGGGATGCTCTGGCGTTCATACAACAGACATCACTAAGTCCAACAGAGGTGTGAATGGGTGTGCTTTGTGAATGCTGCAAGCCCTGAGATCTGGGTGGGCAATGCAGAATAGACACTGAGAGACCAGGTGACAGCTTATGCCAAGGCCCCTCGGTCTCACCTGAACACTGACAAATACCTGGCTGGAACCCATCTGACTCACCTGTGTGTTAATATTGTTAAAACAGACATTAGAAGTGTAAGAATGTGTTTAGATTTTATAAAACGTTTGTAAATTGCTGCATGCATTAATCTCGCTTATAATATCTGTACCCAATGGTATAAGGTAATATTTAAGTGTTTGCATTGTAATCCTTGGTAACTGTAAATCACGAATGAGGAGAAAGACATCAGGTCGTGTGAAATGCTGGTGTGCAGAAGGTGTGATGTCCTGCCCAACAGAGAAGGCCCATCAATGGCAGATGAACTACTGTGGAACCTTAAAAGGGAGAAAAGACCTCTTTGGTTTCTCTTCTCTCTCCAGCTCAGCGGCTGTCGTCAGCCAGCTCTTTCTGCCGTGCCACCGAAAGCTGAAGTAGAGTCACTTCTACTGACAGCATGAATGTTTGACAACATACAACACATGTCCGTTCCCAGCTCTGCTTCTTCTTTTGATCAGTTGTTTTGTTGCGATTATCAAATGATTTGAGATTGTGTCTTTTTATGGGCTCAAAGACGTCTCCCTCACCCCTTTGCAGCCTCCTGGTTACAAACTGTTTCATTCCTTGTGTGCCGTTCTCTGTGATCAAGCAAACTTTCTTCAGTTTCAGGTGGGGTCACAGTAGATGTTGCAGTGTTCACAAGTGGCTGCCTGTGGTCTGGGCTTGTTCCAGGTTCAGTGCATAAAGGTTTTGTCATACTTTCAGTCACAAGTTTTATAATATCTTGGACAGCAGTTTCATCTGTAGCAATGCCCTTTGTGGTCACTTCTTTGTGGAGATCTGCTTCTGAAGGCTGCATTCCACACATCTGCCTTGTGTAGATGTTACAGCTGCCTTAAAATGTGCAGAGACAAGGTGGGTGAAGTAATATCTTTGATTGGACTGAGTTTTCTTGGTGTTCGAAAGCTTGTCTCTTTCACCATAGTCCAGTAAAAGATATTACCTCACCTGCCTTGTCCCTCAGATATCTCAGGGAAAACACATCACTGCGAATAACGTAAAATGTACAGTCAGGTAATACTTGGTCAGCGCCTTATCTTTTGTGCAAAGATGCAGATGCTTCTCACAGTCCTCGTTGAGTGATTGCCACATGCTTCTGTGGTATATGGCATGACATGGCCGTGGAGCAGTCTGGTATTCTGTACCCTGACTGTCAGCTGGCATGGGACATATATCTGGCTTCTGGTACATTTACACAACCCCATCTAGCATAGTTCATATGACCACACTGCAATTCAAGTGCAATCATCTCTGCCAGTGTCTCAAGCGACGAGGACTTGTTATCTCCTCTCTTTGCTGCAGTGTATCCCTCAGGAGTTGGGCAACATCCAGTACATATTTCAGAGTAACAGCCGTGTTAGTCTGTCTTTGCAAAAAGAAAAGGAGTACTTGTGGCACCTTAGAGACTAACCAATTTATTTGAGCATGAGCCATCCGATGAAGTGAGCTCTGGCTCACGAAAGCTCATGCTCAAATAAATTGGTTAGTCTCTAAGGTGCCACAAGTCCTCCTTTTCTTTATCCATTACATAGTTTTCCCAGAGCAGAAATGTATCTCAGCAGTTTTTCCCTTGGGTAACGTAAGTGTCCATGAGCTGGTGGAGTGACTGGGTTCTGTTCATGACGTCTGCCAGAGCATTCTGTGCTTCCACGCTCTTTTCTCTGTGTGCCTTGTCCACATCTTCAAATGCTTCCGTGCAAGGTCAAACTTTCTCCAAGATGCATCTCTTCTAATCTCCTGGGAGAACATCATTGTTCATGGAATTGCCCAGTGCCACCCATTTCAAATGATTCATTGCTTCCTTCATAGGTTTCTGGATTCTAACACCACGGTTATGTGCTTTCGCTCCTACAGCATGGCTGATGACTGAAGCACCATCGATGCTTGCTTCCACAAGGAGGTCTTCAAACCCACTTTCCTGTATCACACTGCCTATGTCACCCAGGAAATTCACTGTACGATGCACGCCTCCCATCTCAAAGGGGTCATTGTCAAATTCGGTTCGATTCCTCCATTTAATCAACTGTGCTTTGCAATACATTGCTTCATCATACACGTCGTAAGTCCAGTCTTGGCCCAGAGAGTGGAACATATCCTGAAAATATTTCATCCTGGTGTACTCTGTATTTACATCAGTTGCTGATGCAGAAATCATTGCACGGTAGCCAATAGTCATAAAATAGCAGACAGAAAGTCTTCTCCAATCAGTCCACCCTACAAATAATGACAGATATTTTGATGTATTACATGATACAAACAAGCTCATACTGTCGTGTGACTACAGACTTTTGCTTTAACCAAAGGCAGACAAATATGGGAAAATGCATAAAATATGTCACCAGGGGCTAAATATTCCCCAAACTTTCCGCAACAGTATTATTTTGAGTACATAGTTCGTAGGCAATTGAATTTAGAAGCTTTCTGCCAATTTTTGGTAAAAAATAGACCGTGTTTCTCCAAGTTGTGGCCTTTTTGGTGATTTTATGATTTTTTCAGGTTAAGGTTTCAACATGACATGATATAGAATAACTGCACCACTCCCAGCAGCTACAAACACCCTGCTGATGACCACCAGATGTGTGTCTAACATGTGGCAACAAAATGTTTCTCGCTGACTCATTCATAAGACCCCTTTTTAAATCTGACTGGCTGACGACTCCTCCTCCAGGTTTGCCAGCTCTGCCGCTGATACCCAAGGTGTAGGCTTCAGCTCCCTCCGTGAGACCCTGGCCAGGCAGAGCAGACCAGGTTTCCTGCTGCTCCTCTGCTCAGTAGATCTGGCCGTGAATATGCGCTGGGAGCAGATCTGCGGAGTAAGAAGCTGGACAGTCCCCCCTCAGAGGAGAGCCGCCGGTAGATGGGGCTGCGGTTCTGAACACGCCACCAGGGACCTGGGGGATTGGGCTGGAGCAAGCTGCAGGCCCTGGTAACCCTCGTTTGCACTCTCTCTTGGCAGAGTTCGCAAAGCTGATCCAGCTGCTCTGGACCTCGTCCCCCAATGAAGTGGTGAGCCCCTCGGAATTCAAGACCCAGATCCAGAGATACGCACCCCGCTTTGTCGGCTACAAGTAAGGCTCTGCCACAGCCTAGGCTAGACGGGGGGTGGGGTGGGGGACTTGTGGAGCCCAGGGAGTGGTTCCTTACCCTTCCCTTGTCCACTCCAGCCAGCAGGATGCTCAGGAATTCCTGCGCTTCCTCCTCGATGGGCTCCACAGCGAGGTGAACCAGGTGCTAGTGCGGCCCAGATCCAACCTGGACAACCTGGACCACCTGCCGTAAGTAGGCGGCGCGCGCGAGGAGAGAGCCACACCCGTGGCACAGACTGGTGCCTCTCGCACGCTGCCTCTGCAGAGCAGCATCCATCCATCATCGCCAGGGAGCCACGCTCCCTGCCAGCTGGCTCACGCCCAGCCTGGAACTGGAGAAGGGGTCCCAGAGGTGTTTTTCACCAGCTAAACCCAACCCCAGGGGCCTGCCTTGGCCAGCTCTCTCTTTGGGGTGATTCTGAGCAAGTTCAGATTGGTGGTGGCTGGACCAAATTGGCAGCAAACGCCCAGGACACCAGAACCCAACTATGATGGGGCCTGGGGGGAGACGGGGGCTGCAGGTGCGGAGGGGAGATTGGGGCCTAATAAACGAGCCACAGGGAAGGAAAATCACCAGCAGATCCCAAACTGGGCAGGTAACTGTCCCCTCCAGAAAAGAAAAAGAAAAGAAAAGAAAGAAAGCCCTGCTAATGTGAGGGGATCCCTTCTTCCCACGCGTTCCAAGCTCGGGGGAGCCGGCAGCCCTGTAACAGCCCGGCATTCTGCACACCTGCCTGCCGTGATGTCTGTAGGGTTTAGCATTGCTAGCCCTGGAATTAGCAAGTCACAGATCCCAAATATATGGAGTCCCCAGGCTTGATGTATGGGGGTACGGCTCTGGTCTCTTATGTCACTCAACTCGCAAGCCATCAAGTGCTCCAGCGGTGCTGGACTAAAATTCAAGTGGACTAAATGCAAAGCCTGAAGGCCCTCAGCATGCCGTGCTTTTAAGGGTTTGAGACCCACTGGCACAGGAGTGGAGTTCAGGACCAGAGAAGCTTTTCCAGCATCAGTCCTGGACCAGTGACCGTAAAGGGGGCAGAGCATGCTCCCTGCAGCTCCCTCCTAATTGGCATGCTTCCGCCTGCAGACTGCAAAGCAGCTCAGGCCTTGGTGGGGCGCTGGCCCTGGCAGGCATCTCACACACTCTGTCTCTTCTTTGTCCCCTGCAGTGACGATGAAAAAGGGAGGCAGATGTGGCAGAAGTACCAGGAGAGGGAGGATAGCCGGATCGGAGGTGAGTGCCTGGGTACGGGGAGGGGAGGACATGGGGGCAGGGAGTGGATGGAAGGATAGCAAGGCCCAGGGAGTGAAGTGGAGGCGGGCAGGGGAATTGCAGTGTCTACGGAGGGGAGGGCAGGCAGCCGGCTCAGACCCCATACATCCAGTACACAAATGGATAGATCAGTAGAAGACACGGTTGCTGTGATGGTCAGAGCCCTGCCGGGTGAGGGCTGGGCCATGCAGTGCCTTGGGCATCTCTCACCCCCTCTCGTTCCCACCCCACCCCAGATCTCTTCGTCGGGCAGCTGAAGAGCTCCCTGACCTGCAGCGAGTGTGGTTACTGCTCCACGGCCTTCGACCCCTTCTGGGACCTGTCCCTGCCCATTGCCAAGGTAATGCCCCCACCCCCACCTGCTGCTCAGCGTCCCCCCATCCTGCCTGCCTGGGCATGCTCTGACCCTCACTCTTTGCTCCCCACAGAAGAGCTACGGCGAGGTGACCCTGTTGGACTGCCTGCGGCTCTTCACCAAGGACGATGTGCTGGATGGAGACGAAAAGCCAGTGAGGGAGGGATGGGTGGGGAAACGGTGGGAGGAAGGGATGGACGGGCAGGGACAGATGGACAGGCAGACTGCTGTTTAGGGATCAGGAGGTGCGGTACAGAGATCATCACCCTTCGGCACTGCGCCATTTGCCCACATCACAGTTTTGCTGTAGCAGTTGGTCCCGCATCCCAGCCCCATGGAAATGAGGCCGCCTGCCCTCAAGGTGGGCACCATCTTGGCTCAGGGATAGGCTTGGATTTGCTTCCGCTGTGCCCCATTTCCGCTAGACGGTGGGCCTATTTGCTGAAGTTCCCCTGTGGGTAGCACGCTCGGGCCTGGCCCAGGGCTCCTGGGTTCAGCCCCCCGATGATGCTATCAGGATCCCCCTCTAATCCTGGTTTGTCTCCCCCAGACATGCTGTCGTTGCAAAACCAGGACAAGGTGCACAAAGAAGTTCAGCGTCCAGAGGTTTCCAAAGATCCTGGTGCTTCGTATCCATCAGTCTCCCCGGAGCTCCCTGCAGTGGAGATCCCAGCACCTAGGCAGCATATGCCATGGGGCGGGAGGGTGGGGGGTCTTGGGGCAAAGGGATATGGGTGGGAGTCACCTCCTACCCCCAGGCATTAGCAGATCCAGCTTCTGCTGAGTGGGACATACCAGAGGAAGACCGGGGCCCATCCCCAAGAGGGCAAAGGGCTCTGTGCACATCTCCTCCCACCCTTCCCTCCCATCCATCTGTCCTGGCCCTGCCCCCTTTCCTTGACTCCGCCCCCCCCAGATCTGAAGCGCTTCTCTGAAGCCAGGATACGAACCAGCAAGCTCACCACCTTCATCAGCTTCCAGCTGAAGGACCTGGACCTGCGGGAGTTTGCCGCACAGAGCTGCAGTGAGTGCCCTGGGGCAAGGCGGGGGCTGGGTGTGCTGGCACAGGGATACAACATGCCCGTAGCTGATGGGGCAGGGCTGGGGCAGCGTCCCTCACGGCATCCCACTGGGCATCAGGGGCATGTCACGGAGCACCCCTGTCGCTAACCAGTGTGCCACACTGCCCGGCCTGGCCCTAGATCAGACACACACCCAGTCGTGACCCTTCCTCCCTGTGCGGATTTATTCTTCACTTACCAAGGTCAAGAGAGTGGGTTGCAGCCTGCCAGCAAAGCAGACTTCCCCACAGCCACCTCTCCTCCACCCAGGCTGCCCCTCTGAACTTCTCCCGTTTCCTCTCCCTCCCACTTAGATCCTTCCACTTACCCATCCCATTGCCTCATCAGCCCAGCAATTGCCACCCAAGCTGAGTCATCCCCAACAGACTTCAGCCTGCACACCTTCCCCATGCTGCAGCCACCTCGAATCGGGCCCTGGCACAGGGAGCTTGGTGGCTGATGAGCCACCCCAAGGGAGCTCTCCCCACTAGCTGTGTGTCCTTGGTTGCCAGTGCACTCATCCCACAGACAGGGTGTGGGTACGTTCTGTCTCCCCAGGACTGTGTCCTGCCCCAGCAGAGGCTGCATGGCACGCTCTGCCTTGCTGCACCCCTCTACCCCACACCCTCGAGGGAACCAGACAGTGGTGGACGAATTCCCCAGCCCCCGAGGGACATGTCTTTAGCCTTGTATTTCAGGTGTGGAAACTGAGGCACAGGACGTGACACACACAAAGCCATGCACTAAGCCAGTGGCAGAGCTAAGAACAGAACTGAGGAGTCCTGGCTCCCCCAATCACTTGCTCACTCAAGATCACTCTCCCTCCCCAAGCGGAGAATAGAACCCAGGAGTCCTGGCTCACCCCCTCCCCCATTCTTCTGCCCAGTCCTTGGGGTCTTGCTCTTTGTGCCTTGCTAGTGGAATCCCAAGGGCACAATACCAGCCCGGCAGGGGATTCCAGCAGCAGGGGTCCGGATGAGCACGCTGGACCCTACCCTCGCTAATTGCTGGGTTTGCTCTGCTCTGCCCCACCCCTACAGATCATGCCATTTACAACCTGTATGCCATCTCAAATCACTCCGGGACCACCATGGGAGGGCACTACACAGCCTACTGCAAGAGCCCAGTGTCTGGCGAGTGGCACACTTTCAACGACTCCCGGTAATCCTGGCACTTGGCATCCCAGGCACCCGTCCCACTTCCCATGTGGCCAGGGGTCTGTATGGGCATGTGGGGAGGTGGATGGGTATTGTGGGCTGATGTGGGGAGCAGCTCTGTGGATTGAGGTGACTGAGGGCTGCATGGGCAATGAGTGTTGTGGGGGAGATCTGCAGATGTAGGGTAACTGGGGGCTGCACAGGCTAGGGGGGTTGTGGGGGTAGCTCTGTAGATGTGGGGTAACTGGGGGCTGCGCAGGCAATGGGTGTTGGGGGAAATCTGTAGATGTGGGGTGATTGGGAGCTGCACAGGCTCTGGGTGATGTGGGGGGAGATCTGTAGATGTGGGTGTGATGGGTTCGGTCACAGGGACCCCCTTGGGACTGCCACCTGATGTGCTGAGACGACCTGTGAGCCCGTTTTCCCAGCGCCCAGCGTTCTGCCTTTCTGGGCAATTTGCAACTTGTGCAGTTCTAGCTTCTTCTGATCTTCACTCTTACTTATTTTGCTTACTTTTCTGTCCCTATTTCCCTTACCCAAAATAAGCAAACAGAAAATAACTAACCGGTAATCACTTTGTCTGTTCTCCAGCCAACACACTTAAACCTCACTTAAAATCACTACCAGCATTTCAAAGCAATCAGCTGTGCACAGATCCTGCTTGACTATGCCGCTGTGACAGGTTGAGTCAGAGAAACTCCCTTGGGACTGCCACCTGATGTGCTGAGAGCCCCTTTTCCCTGGCAGTACCCTGTCTTGTTGAGCCAGACACGCCAGCCTGCTGCAAACACAGACCCAGGTCTGAACCACGTCCCCCAAAAGCTGCAGACTTAACTAAAAGCGGCTTAAGAAGTGCTCCTGTCTCTAGCACCCAGATATCCAGTTCCCAGTGGGATCCAAACCCCAGAAAATCTGTTTTACTCTGTATAAAGCTTATACAGGGTAAACTCATAAATTGTCCACCCTCTATAACACTGATAGAGAGATATGCACAGCTGTTTGCGCCCCCAGGAATTCATGGCTTACTCTGGGTTAATTAATAAACAAAAGTGATTTTATTAAGTATAACAAGTAGGATTTAAGTGGTTCCAAGTAATAACAGACAATAAAGTAAGTCACCAAGCAAAATAAAGCAAAACACGCAAGTCTAAGAAGAATACATTAAGAAACTGATTACAGATGAAACCTCACCCTCAGAGATGTTCCAGTAAGCTTCTTTCACAGACTAGACTCCTCTCTAGTCTGGGCCCAATCCTTTCCCTGGTACAGTCCTTGTTCCAGCTCAGGTGATAAAAACTAGGGGATTTCTCATGACTGCAGCCCCCTTTGTTCTGTTCCACCCCCTTATATACCTTTGGCACAAGGCGGCAATCTTTTGTCTCTTTGGGTCCCCACCCCTCCTTCTAAATGGAAAAGCACCAGGTTTAAGATGGATTCCAGTACCAGGTGACATGGTCACATGTCCTGTGAGACCCCAAGCCTTCATTCTTCCCAGCCTGACTCATAGGAAGGCTTGCAAGTAACAGAGCCATCTGCAGTCAATTGTCCTAGCTGATGGAACCCATCAAGATTCTAAACCACCATTAATGGCCCACACTTTGCATAACTACAATAGGACCTCAGAGTTATGTTTTATATTCCTACTTTCAGATACAGGTATGATATAGTCATACAAATAGGATGACCACACTCAGTAGATTATAAGCTTTGTAATGATACCTTACAAGAGACCTTTTGCGTGAAGCGTATTCCAGTTACATTATATTCACACTCATTAGCATATTTTCATAAAATCTTATGGAGTGCAACATCACAGTGGGGTAACTGGGGGCTGCATGGGGAATGGGTGTTGGGGGAGATCTGTAGATGTGAGGTGACTGGGGACTGCACGGGCTCTGGGAGTTGTCAGGGGAGATCTGTAGATGTGGGGTGACTGGGGGCTGTATGGGCTCTGGGTAGTGTGGGGGTAGCTAGGTAGATGTGGGGTGACTGTGGACTGCACAGGCTAGGGTGGTTGTGAAGGTAGCTCTGTAGATGTGGGGTGACTGGGAGCTGCACGGGCTCTGGGTGTTGTTGGGGGAGATCTGTAGATGTGGGGTGACTGGGGACTGCACAGGCTCTGGGTGTTGTGGGGGTAGCTCTGTAGCTGTGGGGTGACTGGGGGCTGCTATGGGGGTAGCTTCCCTTCCTGTGCCATGACCGCCACTCTCTCCCTACAGCGTCACCCCGATGTCCTCCAGCCACGTGCGCAGCAGCGACGCCTACCTGCTCTTCTACGAGCTGGCTAGCCCGTCTTCCCGCATGTAGCTCCTGCCCCCCCGCTCGGCCCCTTGGGAGCATGGCATGGCCACGCCGAGACGGGAAGACCCAGGACGGCCACGACTCTGGCGGGGATTTCTATTAATCGGTTCGTTTTTTTAAAAAACAACACAAGACGCAAGAGAAACCACCCCTAAAATGGGGCCAGCACCCTGGCCGGGGGTGGGGGGGTAGATTTCTCCTGCCCGTGGGCCCATTGCGGCTGAGGCTGAAGACAAGTGGAGCCCCAGACCAACCGGCAGCACAGACAGCGGAGAGGATGCCGGCACAGAGGGGGCTGGACAGTTTGGACGATTCCTGCTATTAGGGGCGGGGATTGGATTCTTAGCTTATTTTGCTCTTTTCTTTAGTGTGTAATAAATGCCAAGGGGCGCAGAAGCCTGCCTGTCCCATTAACTCCAAGCAACCAACCCCTCCCACCCCGGGGCAGACACGAGTGGGGTTTGGGGACCCAAGAGTACCTCCATCTCATCCTGGTGCAACCACACCATTTGGAGCCTGCTGCTTGGGAACCCCATCTTGAATTGCACTATGGAAACACCGCACCTGCTCTCCAGCTCGGCCCCACCCTGCTCGCTGCAGCCAGGGGCTGCTCCTCTAAACCGGACTAATAGCCCGCCACCCTTCTCCAATAGCCCGAGGCAACTTGGCTGGCGGCTCTGCCCATAGAGCAGTCGTAGCAGTGAATTATTGATTTGAAACTCCCTGGCCAGGCTATGACCGGATTTGTGTGGATGACGCCCAGCGGTGCACAGGGAGCCCAGGACAGGTCCTGGAGTGACTGTTCTGCATCTCAGCACTTTGGGGGGATACTCTTGAGTTCATTTTTAATTGACTTTTCTCAATCCACAGTGCCCACACTGGTTTCCTATGGGGCCTCCTTGCTCGGAGCATCGGGGATGGGGGAGAGACTCGCTTTGGGTGGGTTTACCAGCCTGCTGTACAACCGTGCCTTAAAATGTTTTGAGAGCAGGGAGGGGCATGTGAGCTGAAGTAATGTTCCCATAATCCTCTGGGGCATGCCCAGCCTATGCCATGAGGGCCAGCAGCTTCCTGAGAGCCAGCTTTTTTTTTTTTTTTAGGGGGCGTGGGAGGGTCTCTGTGCAGTTGGGAATGGTGAGCAGCAGCCTCTCCCTCCCACAGAGGCGTGAAGCCAGCCCCACTGGGCTTCCCCTGGATTGGCCAGGGAATCTCAATTGCCTTTTTAGTCTTTTCTCTAATTTGTTCTCTTCCTCCCTTCCCCCCCCAGCCACATTCAGAGCATCCCACCACACCCTACAGCTAAGCTAGCCCCTGGCATGCTCAGAGATGCCCCCACAGCCATGTTGAATTGTGCCACTTGCCTGTTCTTGGCACTGCACAGCTGGGGCATCCTGGCTGCTTTGCCTGCTTCCCTCAACCGCTCCTTGCGCCCTGCCCCAAGAACAGGTCTAAGAGGACTGACACTTAGATTGAAAGGGACATTTTCCAACTGCTTCGCCAGGGCCCCTTTCAACGTGGCTGGGGGCACCTGCTGCAGGGGAAGAGTGGCTACAGGAGCAGCCCAGACAGCAGCTGGAGGGAGGCTGAGCAGAGCAGAGGTGCTGGTTTGGTTATTGCTTGTTTACTGTGTAAGCAAGGTGAGCGGAAGAGTGTAGAGTACAAGGGAGACTTGTACAGGAATAAATTTTAGCTTGAACACCACCCCCAGGCTTTGCCTTGCTGTGTGCGTCCCAAGCTAACGCTACAGGACAGACCGCACTCCTCCCAGCCTAATGCTGCAGCTCAAGGGCATGAGCTGTGGAAACCCGCCCCCGGGCCAGGTAAGCCCAGCCAGCTAGGGGGTTTATCCTGCCACTGGCTACTCACTGGTGGCAGTGGGCTAGATAGAGCCGTGCTCTGTGCCAGGGCACAGCTCTTGGCTGCCCAGAGGGCTTATGAGATTCTCATTGCCCCCAGAGCAGGACAGCAGGGCCTAAAGCAAGCTGGGACCACCATTTAACCTGGGCCTGAGGCAGGCAGCAAGTTTCTCCTGCAGCCCCCCGGAGCCTGGCTTGTGCAGCATGAAACAGAATGAGAACTACGACACCACTGCAAAAGGGACCCAGGGCTGGCTAGAGAAGCAGAGATCCAGGCCCAGAGCAAAGCCTTTTGCTGTAAACCCTCCCCCGCGCCACCCATTAACATGCCCCAGTCTTGGGAGCCCTAAGTACTGGGCTCTCCCCCTGCAGCTCAGCTCTCCCCAAAGCTCCTGCACAATGAGCCCTTTCTCCACTGCTTAGTAACAGAGAAACAGCTTCGCCTTGAGGGGCTGCAGGAATGTGACTGGCTGGGCCCTGGCGCCAGGCACTAGGGAAACGCTGCACCCAGCCCAGCCAACGGTAAACACAGCCAGGGGAATTCGCTCACTCCACATCCAGCTCCAGCCCCCCTCCCTGCAGGCCCATGGGGCACTGGTGGCATCAGTAATGCCCTGGAGGGAGCAAGGGAATGCTTACCAGCTGCTGTGGGGTGGAGAACCAGGCTCCTCCCCCAGACACATTCATCCCCTAACAAGCCCACTGGAAGTGCAGGACCTGAGACCCCCTGGGACAGTGACAGCCCTGCTGCCTCCAGGCCACCACTGGAGATCTCATGAATACTCCACACAAGTCCCTAAGCGGCCTCTGTCCAGGGGAGCAAAAGCAGCTTGAGGGCCAGGATCATGTCTTGGGAGGGACTCAAGACCATGGGAGAAGGCCCCAGCTCCATCTCCCTACCCCAGGCACACTCTCTCATAAGATGTCTGACCCTGCAGCTTGGTTCCAGGCAGCACCCATCAGACAAGCATAAAAGAAGAGGCGGACTTTAATTCCCACCCACTAACACCAGTGCAACCAAGGAGAGGGCTAGGATGTGGGACTGCTGGGTTCTACTCCTGGCTGGGCCACCAACTGGCTGCATTACCTTGGGCAAAGCAGGTGCACAGATGCCCCAGTGATGGCCACTAGGAGAATCATTTTCAAAAGCATGCAAGTGACTTAGGAGCAGAACACTCCTTGAAAGCCAATGGCTCCAAAGGCACTTTTCAAAAGGGGACATTAGCTCCTAACTGCAGCACCTTGAGGGGAACCTATCTAGGTTTTTTCAGGGCCTAATATTTTCTATGTATGCCTCAGTTTCCCCCCTGCAATGCAGGGATAATAGCACTGACCTACTGATAGCTCCACAGGATCTGTGCTCCGCCCCCAGCTTTGGAACAGTCTCTAGCTGGAACCCCTTTGGGGGGACAGACCCCCAAGGGGTCTCACTTTTCTGCAGAGAATAGGCTATGCAGCCTCACCCCCTCCTTTGACTGAATCTCTGGGGCACCAGCACTCCTCCTTCACAGCGGGCACTCTATTCAGCAAGGCCAACTGAGAAATGCTCCTGGAGAGACTTGGAGACCCCCCTCACCCTCTAATGTACCTCACCCAGCCTTTGCAATGACTCAAGTAGCATGGTCAAAACAGTAAGTTTATTTGTCAACGGGAACACAGCAAGTCCTTAGGTTAGCCCAGAGTCTTCAAGGTCCTTCAGGTTAGCCCAGAGCCCAGCCAAACTGTAGCGTACCCCCCTTTCCAAGCACCATCATCTCCTTCCTCAGATCCCTGGTGAGCACTTAGCTGCCCTCCAGATGACAACTTTTATTCCCCCCCTTTACACCTTCCCAATCCTTGGTTCTTGAGCTGGGGGATTCTGCCCAGCTTCCCTGCAGAGAGGTGGGGAAATCCATCTCCCTCTGGGGCATTGGTTGCCAGGTGTCCATGTCCTGGTGACAGGGTTTGCCATTGTCCTCTCAGATTCTCCATCGATAGGGTGTCAGCCTCCACCAGTCCTTTACAGACCCATTCAGGTTCAGACAGCTAGGCATCATGCATGCTTATGTCTCTTAGCCTGCCCTGAGAGACTGTCTCCCCCCAACTCCAGTAACCATGAAAAATAAAGGGGAAACTGAGGCACACATTGGCCACATACAATTACAGAAAACTCCATAGACACTGCTCTGTGCACCTCAAGGATGGCTAAGGCTTCATAGAGCAATGTAAGCCAGGGGCTCGGAGATGCTCCTCAGGAATGTACTACATCAGCATACCTTACCGTCCCACTCTGGGGTGCAGTCCAGACCAGTGAGGGGTTGGGTCATCACATGCCCTGTAACCCTGGCTGCCTCTCAGCTTTGCTGCTGTAACTCCCACCCTGCACCACTCACAACCAGACCCCTAGTCACACCACAAGCATCCATGTAGAGCTGCAGCCTAGTCCAGCAAGACTGGCTTTCAGCAGCCTCGGTTACTCCTCTCGGGGTGACCCCAGCACACTCCCAGTCCCAGCTTTCCCCAAAGATGTGCGTTCTGCACTGACCTGCCTTCTCCTGAACAGTTCAGATCTTCATGTTTGTTGCCCCTGTAAAGAGTCAACATTCAGTTTGTTGCTTTAACTTGAGTTAACAAACAGTTTGGTTTACACACAGCACTGGATTGTTTTAGATTAGTATCAAAAACAAAACAAAGGTAGGATTAAGTGAATTCAAGTAGAAGAGGTGAAACTAGCTACAAGCGAAGAAGAGTGAACATGCATCTAAGTCTAACAATCTAACTAGTTTTGGTTCAAAGCTTGGTTTGAGATGGTCTCACCCGCAGCCTTCCAACAAGATGGGGACTGTCCCTTTCCTGGGTCAGGCTCTCTCCCAGAGGCCCAAAGGTGCAGGGGCCCTGGTCGTCTTAGGCAAAAGATTACTTGGGGTTCTCTACCCCTTTATAGTCCAGGGAACCTTAGGAGTGGGTCCTACTGAAGGTTACCCCTCAAAGCAAAGTTTATGCAAGCTGTGAGGAAGGCAACATGGAGTCTGGTGGGCAAAGAGGTTTCATGCACCTTTCCCTTCTTGTTGGCAGGGAATAGAACTTGTAGTTCTGCTATCTCCTCCCCCTGCAGTTTTGAGGACCCTGCTTCCCTCAATTTGCACACAAGTAAACACATTGCCTTCTTTGGGCCAGACCAGACAAGTCTAACACCTTTGCCTGGGCAAGGCTGTGGCATTTTGAACATGTGCCATTGTACAGGGGATTTCATAACTTTACATTAAGTTATCAACCAGCAAGTTATTAGTTTTCAAATGATCCCTCACAAGGCCTATTTTGTGCAGTGGCATGTAGGGTGTGAATACAGGGGTGCTTTCCACCACCACCAACGCCACAATGTAGCCACTTCTGGGGTGGAGCACAACAGCCGCTTACCTACCCACAGCACCATATAGCCCAGGGGAAGCAGGGCAGGTCATCTCATCAACTTGATGGGGGACCCCTCCATGCATCCCAGATCTAGCTGCCTGAGCCACTAGGGTCCTCAGCTCCTGGGGAGCACCAGTCCAACCAAGCCAGCTCAACAGTGCTGTCCCTTTAAGACTCCTGTTTGCCATGCCAGGGGACTTGACCTCAGCATCCTCAGCTGAGTTGGATTAAGGTGGGAGGAGGGGTTGGGGCTTGGGCTGTTTTTTTTAATGCTTTTAAAATTCTTTCACTGCCATGTGGCTTTCCCAGCCCCCTCCCCCTGGAGTCCAGTACAACCATTCCTTGGCTTCCAACCTTTGGTACCAGCCAAAGCAGCCAGCCTGGCCATTTACATTCCCTGCAGCAGGCAGACTGAGCTCACCCAGAGCTCTGAGTGCTCCGCAATAGCCACGTGGATGTCCCGGGGGAAGGATCAAACCCCAGTCGCACCTCTCAGGAGTCGTTTTGTGCTGTTGCAGTGATCAGGAACAGCCATGCCGATGGCAGAGGGGCCATGGGAGGGGGCCAGGGCCCACCAGACCCAGAGGGCGAGGAATGCACCAGGGGAGCAATTCTAGCCAGATCCTGCCAGGAATCACCCCCAGCGATGAAGGACTTCACTGAAATCACGCTGTGCCCCGACAGGCTGGAGCAGAGTAAGGTACGGGCGGCAGCAGGTGCCACTGGGGAGGGAGCTGTGTGGGGGTCTTGGCCCTGAACCCGCTTGGCCCAGAGCTCCTGCTGCTGGTGTCACCTCCTGCCCCTGGGGCCAGGCAGTCACCTCCCAAGCCCTGACCCCTCAGTGCCATGTGCTTCCCCCAGCTCACCCTCAATACCATGCAGTCCCCCTCCCCCGATGCCTGGTACAGACCCCCATCAGGGGATTCACTCACCATTGGGGCATCTGTTTGGGGTCTTGCTCCTTTCAGGTCTGATGCTCCCCATAACCGACAGCTGCTCATGCTGCATCCCACCTCGCTCTCCAGGGCTCGCGTGGCTTCCTCTGTGGCTCCACGCCCTGGCCAGGTCACTGTACTGTCCTCCCCTCCTGGATCCACTGTCCCGCCTGCCATTCCAGACAGTCCTTCTGCACCACAGCCGGGCCCTGGACCACTTTCTCAGCAGCAGGGAAGGGAACCAGGCCTGCCCACAACCCCAGGTTCCAGCCCTGGAATGCTTTGCCCAGCAGCCACCGTCTGCTTGCTCCCAGGCTCCAGCACTCCTTGGATTCCTTCCTATGCACCCCACATTCCTGCCCAAACTCCCTCCCCCAGGGAGCAACTGCTTCCCCAGCAGCCCATTCTGCTCTCAGCTTCTTCCCTTTAGACCACCCCACCTGAAGGTCATCTTCCACTCAGCTTTATTGAGCCCTGGTTCTCCTCCTGGGGCAGTCTATGAGGTTAATTGACCTAATTTAACCTGCTCTGCCTTGTGTGGGGAGGACCTCACTTCCCACTCCCACCATACCTCCTGCTTTCTCCTCCCCAGCACTGACCCCTCCCTGCCATGTGCACCTGTTCCCAGCACCCAGGGCTGGCCCCCTTGTGCACACCCACCCCCCAGCAAGGCCCTGACTCCCATTAATGAACAGTCCAGCATGCCCCATGTTCCCCACCCCACAAAGCACTGTTCACCTCCCTGCTGCCTCACACTGCACTGTGTCCCATGCGCTCCACCCCCACCATAGCCACACCAGCCCCTTAACCACCTGCTCTGTGTCTTGCAGACGGAGTTTTGCAATCCCATCTTCGAGCCTGAGAGCGAGGGGGCTGGCTGCGCACCCCCCACTCCGCACCAGATGGCAGGGGAGAACGGGAGCAGCACTGGATCCTCCTGGGATGGCCTCGGTACCAGCCCCCTGGGGGCCCTAGCACCAGTGGGCCCTTCTGAGTGGGCAGCCCCTGAGGGGAACAGGGAGGAGAGGCAGGGGATCTCCCTCTGCCTGGGGGAGATGGGCCCAGCAGACCCTAGGGTCCTCCCTAAGGGAGTCATGCACCACACAGTACTGGCTGTCAGGGGGCCACCACGGTCACACCAGTGCCCTCAAGCCGGGCCCCCTGTACTCGATGTACCCCAAGGAGCTGGTCCTGTGCCCCACAGCAGCTTGCTCCAGTGCCCTCCAGCTGCACTTTGTATACCCACAAGCACCAGAGGGGGAGCAGTGACCCACAGGTCCCACCCAACACAGCGCCCACTGGCTGCCAGGGCCAGAATATTGGGTATCCCAAGAATGGCTTGAGGGGTCCTGTGCTCGTACCCAGAGCCAGGTGTATCCCCACAGGGTCCCCTCCCCAGTTCTTCCAGCCTTGGGGGTCCTGTCTCACTGCCCTTAGCGCTGGCAGGGCTGGGTGCCCCACAGACCTCTCCCCTAGGGCTCTGGGAAGGGGGGGGCCCCCAGCCATGCTCACCAGTGACCCCTCGCTGTGCACACAGCTCCCCCCGCAGGCCAGCGGCTCTGGGGCAGGGCGGGCAGGAAGCACGGGCCCGACTGCAAGTTCTCCTGGCTGTGCGTAGCACTGATGAGTGCATTGCTCTTGCTGCTACTCGCCTTGCTGCTGGGGATCATCATCTCCCGTGAGTACCAGGGCAGGGGCAGCTGGGGCATGTGGATGGACAGCACATGTGGGGGGCCCGGCATGCTAGCAGCACAACCCAGCTGCAGTCTTACACCCCCGCCCCCCCCAGGGTCAGGGCAGCGAGTGGGGCTGGGAGCACACCTGCGGGAATGGAGTAAGGGTTAGCTACTGCTACCCCACCAAGACCCTGGCCCCACCTGGTCCACCCTCCAGCTGGAATTACTGACAGCCTGAAATCCACTGAGCTCGGGGTGGAGGGAAGAGACTCCCCAGCCCCCAAACACCTAGCTCCGAGCCCCTGCTCCCCCCCCCGCCCCAATCTGGGGTGCCAAGCAGGGGAGACAGCTGCAGGCCAGGCCTCCCCCCCCAGCAGTGTCTGATCCCTGGGAGAGAGTCTCAGCTGCCTGCCCAGAGACCCTGGTTCCAGTGGCTGACCCCCACTCTCGGCTCTCCCTGTGGAAGCAGAGCTGCAGTCCTCACACTCAGCCGGACCCTCCTCTGCGACTGCATCTGCCCACCATCACCACGCCACCACAGCACCTGCAGGCACCGCCGAGCCACAGAGAGAGCCGCCCCCAGCTACTACACCAGAGCCCTGTGAGTACCTGGGGCCTCGCAGAGCCTCTCCCCAGGCCAGGGGACCCAGAGACCTACCCCCAACCCTACTGAGCACAGGAGGGCATCAGACCCCAAACCGAGACCCCATTGTCCAGGGAGATCACAGGGAGCCACATTCACAGCCCCCCTCCTCACCTCCCTGACTAGCCCCATGTTAATCCCAGTAAGGGGGAGCAGTGGGGAGAGCAGCTAAGAGCAGAGAGGATCCCTCTCTGACTAGGGTAAGCATTGAGCCCCAGGGCTAGGGGCACAGAAAGGGGCCCCACCCACCCCATAGCTCCCCACCCAGGCTGGGAACACAGAGAGGGGACCCCCCATCCACTCCCCTCCAGGGCTGGGGGCACAGAGAGGGAGCCCCATCCACCCCACAGCACCCCCCATCCTGGGGTGATATGGGGAAGAACCCCTTCTTAACTCAACCCACTGTAACCTTCCCTCTCCAATGTGTCTTGTGTCCCTGTGCAGCCTGTGGGGGGACCCTGAAGGGCCCCGAGGGCTCCCTCAGCTCCCCCAGGTACCCTGCCCCCTACCCACCCAACACCCTGTGCGTCTGGCGCATCCAGGTGGAGGACGGGCTGGCCATCCAGCTAAAGATCGAGTCACTCAGCCTGGAAGGCACAAGATGGTGCCTCTTCGACAGGGTGGAGCTGTACGAAGAGCTGGGAGCAGCCAGCAGCTCCCCTTGGGGAGGGGCATCCAGGTAGGGACCCCATTGCCAGGCTGGATGAATCACAGACTCCCCCCCCCCCCCCCAATATCCCCACCCATCCAGGCTCACATCAGCCACAAGATCCTCAGCTTTTGGGCCATGGGTTTCTCAGTTGCAGAGGGGCAGTGCTCTGGATTCCCATCTGCCAGGGTGGGCAACTTGCCAGAGCAAGCAGCACCCTCTGCTCAGGCCAGGCCCCAGCCTAGCTGGGCCTGCAGAAGGTCCAGGGCAGGTGTGCTGGTAAAGCAGGGGGTGGGGTGGAGAGGGGCACTCACCCCCAGGGCTGCCTGGCACTCAAGCAGGGCTGTAGCAAGTGGTCTCCCTCCCCGACATCCCTTTGTCAGTTACAATTCTGTCTTGGGGTTGGGGGAGGCAACCTCTCTTCTGTGGCTCCCCTGCTGGGTCACAATCCAGGCTTCCCCTTCCAGGGGGTCCCCAAAGAGACACCAGTCACAGAGAAGTCTTCCAGCACCCACAGAGACTTCAGGGCTTTCCCCATAGCTTGGGGGACACAGGCTTTTGGCCCTTGGCTAGTCAGGGGCTCCCCCAATTGGATTTTCCCCCAAGGCCCCCTGGGTGGCCCATCTTTTGGAGTGCATAGAGGAGCCCAGGCCCACCCTTTCCACCAGGCTCCCATACAGGGCCCAATGGTGGGCAGCCAGGTTCTGCACCTTAGGGTGCTAAGCAGCCACCCCCCAGGTCACTTCCTACCAACAGCCCCTTTCCCCAGAGGAAGTTAAAGAACCACAAAGCTTCTGACCTGCTCGCTGGGTCTCTCCAGTCTCTGCTGTGCAGTCTTGGTCAAGGCTGTACTGCTAGCATTTCCCCAGCCCAGAAATCTGCCCTAGTCCCGCTGCCTCCCTTTTATACCTTGCCTCCAGCTGGGCAGGCTTTGCAGGTGCCTCCACCTAGGCCCAGAGCTTAACCCCTTCTTATCCAGTGCGGACTTCGTACCTGTCATCACAGGAGCCCAGCGCAGGAGGCTGTGGATCAGGACTGAGGGGCACTGGCAGAGCTGTGGGGGGACAGGGGGACCAGGGATGTATGGCAGGGGGTTCTGGGTCAGGCTTGAGGGGCACTGGCAGAGCTGGGGGGCAGGACAGGGTGTCCCAGCTGGTATGGCAGGGGGCTGTGGATCAGGACTGAGGGGCACTGGCAGAGGTGGGTGGGAGCCTGGGAAGGCCAGGGTGTTCCATGGGTGGTATGGCAGGGGGCTGTGAGTCAGGCTTGAGGGGCACTGGGAGAGCTGGGGAGTGGGAGGACATGGCATCCCAGGGCTGGCATGGCAGGGGGTTCTGGGTCAGGATTGAGGGGTACTGGCAGAGCTGTGAGACAGAAGCTTGTCCACCCTTCCTGCCTCCAGCCAGCACTGACATGCCCATAAGCCCAAAAATGCCCCCTGCCCTGGGCCTGCAGGTCTCTCCCCCCAGAGCAGTGCAGCAGGAACGGAGTGGAGGGAGCCCAGCGGGGCTGTCCTGTGCTCCCCTGCTGCTCCGAAGGCACCCTGGCAGATCCAGCCTCCCCCCACCACGGGATCCAGGCCATCCCAGCCATATGGGCTCAAGGGGTTAATGGGCAGGTGCCTGCCTCTGCTCCCTGCCCCACTTGCCAGGGTCTCTGGGGCAGGGGGCACCGGTTGCACACACTTGTTGCTCTCTGCAGGTTTTGTGGGGACGTGGCGCCCCCGACAATCAACACCAACTCCAACCGGCTGCGCGTCACCTTCGTCTCGGACAACAGCGTGGGTGCCCTGGGGTTTACCGCCCACTACCACGCCATCGTGCCCAGTGACAGTGAGTGCGGCCCCCCCACACACAACCACCCCAACCCCTGGGGCTTCACCCTCCCAGGGCAGCAGGGGCCCTCTGATGCAGGGCCACCCTGAGCCCTGGGCACCTGTGGGCAGCTTCCAAGGGCGGGGGGAGGCTCTGTTATAAAGCTGATCAGAGTGGTCCCTTCTGGCCTTCAGATCTGTGAACCCACAGGCAATGGGGCACTGGCCCTGGGCAGGGAGCTGCTGACCAAGGGGCATTGCCAGGTTCCTAGGCCCGCACCCAGTCACTGGCTCCTGCTTTCAGCAGCCACCCCTCTTCCTCGTCCATCTGTCTGTCTGTCCTAGAGAGCTGTGCCTGGGACGAGTTTTTCTGCGACCAGGGGCTCTGCCTCCACCTGGGCCTTGTCTGTGACGGCTTCCACGACTGCACGGACAAGAGCGACGAAGCCAACTGCAGCTCGAGACACAAAGGCACGGGCAGCCGGGCGGCCTCCGGCACGGCTTGGCCACACAGGGGCTGGGCCGGGGCAGGGGGGGGAGCAGGCCTGGGCCAGCATGAGGGGCAGCAGCAGCGCTGGGTGGGGCCCTGGACTGGAGTTGCAATGGGGTGTTGGGGGCCCGGACCGAGGGACATTGCAGGGCTGGCAGGCAGGACAGCCTGGCAGGGCGTTGGTGAAGTGTGGGAGCCCAGGCCTGGGACAGCACAGGGACGGTGCATGTAACGGTTGAGGGGCATTGGCAGAAGTGGGTGGGATCCAGGACTGGAAAAACAGGGGATGCCATGCGTCAGGACTGAGGGGCCTGGTCAGAGCCGTGGGAGGAAAAGTCCATGTGTTGTGGGCTGAATGGGGTGGGGCGATCTCTAACAGACTACGCGGGGCCAGAGCAAATCCCTCAGCAGGGACAGTCTGAAATGTTCTTGCCCGGGTGCTGCAGAGTGCAGGGAGCCCTGGAAAGCCAGGACTGAGTCAGACAGCACCAGGGGTGCCGGGCCGGGGGTGGGATGGGGAGAGCCCATGGGTCACAGGGCTGGCGGCAGAATAACCAGCGTGCACCAGTCACAGCTGGGTAAGAGCAGAGATCCGACCCCATGGTGTCTGTCTTGTTCCAGAATGCGGTGGGTCGCTGACCAGCTTGGAGGGGCAGTTCTCCACCCCAAGCCACCCCCAGCCGTACCCGCATCAGCAGGTGAGGGGGGAGCCAGGGGCTGGGGGCAGCAAGCGTGCTAAGCAGTGGAGGCTACGGGGAGGTGTGTCATGTGGCCCAGCTGGCACAAGAGGACAAGGGCCAACCTCTGCCATGCAGCTGTTGGCATCAGAAAGGAGAACCAGGGCTATGGAGGGCAGGGGAGGTGGAGTGGTCAGGTTGGCCCTGTGCTGTTCAAGCCACAGAGGGATAGGGTCCCCCACTGTGTCCAGAACACCAGGAAGAGCCAGAAATGCCCCAGTCTGGGCCACCCTGGCAGCTCCTCCATCCAGAGGTGGGCAGTGGTTTAATGCCCGGTGTCAAGGATCAGGTCCGGTGCTCTCGTGCGGCTCTGGAACAGTCCCTGGGAGGAGCCCTTCAGTGTACCAGCCCCCTTAGGGTCACACTCTTTCACGAGGGTGAGCCACTTGCCTTCCCCGCCTCTGGGGACTGAACCTCGGAGCCTTCACCACCCCTGCTTCCCACTGTGAGCTCCCTGCAGCGAGTCCGCCTGCAGGAGCTGTGTGCACCCAAAGGGATCCATGTACCCCCCTGCCCCCAACTTCCTTAAACTGCAGTGACTCAGCCAGAACTGTAACAGCAACAGGGTTTATTACATGTCTGGAACACAGTGTAGACAGCCCTTGGTTAGCACAGGGAACAGAAAGTTACAGCGTAGAGCATCTGCGTCCGGCCCAGAGCCCTCTGACCCCTCTTTCATCCCAGTCCAGGAACGTCTCCCCCATTTCCAGCAGCCCCCATTTAGCAACCCCACCCGGCCCCTCCTCGGTCCTTTGTCCTTGTTCCCCTGCTCGTCACACCCTGCTGGCATCCATGGTCGTTAGTTGCTAGGTGCCCAATCTCCATCCAGTTGGAGTGGCTGTTGTCTTCTGGGACTCTCCATGGGCCTGGGGCAGCAGGCAGCAAGGCGTCAGACACACCCGGATCTCTGGATCTCTACAAAGAGGAAACAAGCTTTTCGCACCACCTACTTAACCCTACACCACATAGGGGAAACTGAGGCACACACACGCTCCATACAAAATATCATGAAATAATTCCCACGCCATCCCACCCGGTCTGTGCCCAGCTGGCAGTTCCCCATCCAGACACGGGCAGGGATGTCTGGCACAGGCTTACTGGCATCGGTCTCTTCCAGCTCTGTCTCTGGCAGATCGCCGTGCCCGTGGGCCATGTGATCGATCTGCAGTTCCACAACTTCAGCTTGGAGTCGCAGGAGGACTGCACCTTTGACTTTGTGGAGGTGCATGACAGTGCAGGCACGGATGCCCTCAGCCTCCTGGGCAGGTACAGGTGCCCGCAGCTCAGCGATCTGCCGCTGGGGGCAGGAGATTGAGGGAAGGGGAGGGGGGCAGAACTCCCTGAGCAGGGCTGCCTTGCAGAGCCACCTCCTGGGGAGAAAGAGGAACCTCTCTCCTACCCGACTGAATGCCCCCATCCCCAGCACTGGAGAGACCCAGGTCCTGCCCCTCCCAGACCCAGCCTTAGCTGCCTGTCAGCCATACATCTCCAGGTGCTGTACGAAGCAAGTCGGTTTTACTCTCTCCGTTTCGCACAGCGGGGAAGTGACTTACCCAAGGCAGGCCGGTGGCACAGCTGGGAAAGGGCACCCAGGGCTCCCAAGTGCCAGTCCAGTGCTTTATCCACTAGGCATCAATGCCTTCCCAAGGTACTAGCCAATATTCTGCACACAGCAAGAAGACGGGCTGCACAGGGAGGGGACAAAAGTCTCTGGAGGCATTTGGCACGGTCACAACTTCCCACACACCGTCCATTCCCATCCCCATTTCTGCTCCTCTCTTCTTTTCCCTCTCTGTCTCACTCCCCTCTTTTTCTCCATCTCTCTCTCCCTCCTGGTCTCTCTCCCCTGCTCCTCAGCCCCCTCGTTCCCATCACATTTCCTCTCCTGGCAGGTTCTGTGGCTCCCAGTTGCCGCCCGTCCTGACCTCCTCACGACACGTCATGACCGTCCTGTTCATGGCAGATGAGGGCGTGGCGGAGGACGGGTTCTTTGCCACCTACCGTGCCCGGAACGCCACAGAAAGTAGGTCCCTGGGTCTGAAACGCACCCTCCCTGCTACTCGGTCTTCCTCCAGCTGGGTGGCAGGGTCGCCCATCTCTGAGTGGCATGTCCTGGTGCCAAGCTGACCCAGGTGCACTCTCTGCCAGGGTGCTGCTCAGCTGTGGGTTCATCGCTGGCACGGAGCTGGGCATCACATGTGGTGAAAGCAGCATGGGTCTCGGCCGTTGGTCTGCCTCCCTAGCTGTGGGATCGTCCCATCTCCCCACACCTCCCTGAGAAGGGGACAGAGACCTCCTCAGCCAGGCTGATCACAGGGTCGTTTTTTTCTAGGAGGGGAACTGCCTTGGGAGGTTTATCAAGGGAATAGCCTGACACCCTGTCATTTCCCTGTTGCTGCCCAGTAAGTAGCTGATTGCTGTTACGAAGGGAGAACAATGCGATCACCTCCCTAGCTCTGACCCCGGGGAATCACTGGGGTAAACAGAAAGCAGCAGTGCCCAGAAATCTTAGCAGTGACTGTTAGGAGAGTCCACTCCTCCACCCTCCAGGTCTGCCTTTCCCCCACTTCCTCTTTCCAAGGTATTTCCCAGTGCATTTTGCTCCCCCTTTGCTCCCCCTCAGTGCATTTGTCTGTGCACATCCCAGTGAAGCAGTGCTGTTGTGCAGATGGGAACTGAGGCCCAGCGAGCCTCAGTTCCCATCTGTACGGGAAGTGGCAAATTGATACCACTGTAGCTATCCTGGCCCGTGGACACTCGCTCTAGTCACGGTATGATAGCACTGTCCAGTTGGGTCTGTGATCCAGTGACCATGGTTACATTGTAGTTACACTGGAGTTGGGCACCGCTTCCCATTGTAATTACAGTTGCTGACTGCTCGTGTGTGTCCGGTTGGGTCTGCAAGAGCGGGGTCACCATGGTGACTATAGTTACACTGCAGCCCATCGCATGTAGGCCCCATCGCTGTACTCAGATGAGTACCCGCTCATTCCGACATCTTTCTCTCTCATCCGCCAAGAAACATGCAGCCCCTTGGAGTTCTCCTGCAGAAACGGGGAGTGCCAGGCGCGGGAGTCGGTGTGTGATGGCTGGCATGACTGCCCGGATGGGAGCGATGAATTCAACTGCACTAGTGTCTCACCCCCCTCCTTTGGTGAGTGACAACCCCTAGCCCAACCAAGCTCCTACAATGACCAACACTTGGCTTATGGGGTGGGGGGACTTCATCCTCCAGTTTCCCTCAGCCGGTTCAGGTCACAGGTGGAATGAGTTTGGTAGGCCTCAGCTCTGCACCCAGGGAACCTCTGTCCTTACACACTAATGTGACCACCAACTCTGAGGCACCTGCTGGGCTAGGATCCAGATTTTGGAGCCCATGGGCCCTGCAAACGTTCTTTGCACGTCCTAGCCAGTGCACCCCCCCAGCTCAGAGCTGCCACCTGTATCACCTGCCCTCTCCCCTGCAGAGTCCTCCTGCCAGCAGATCCAAGTGGAGGTGTGCTTGGGTCTCAGCTACAACACCACCTCCTTCCCCAACATCTGGCTGACCATCCCAGACCAGCAGGAAGCGGCCACCATGCTCCGAGACTACAAGGTGAGCCCAGCACAGGGGGCCATGGGGGAGACTGTGCTGCCCGGCTGGGGGGTGTCAGCTGGGCGGGAAGGGAAACCCAGTGGGAAGCAAGCAGGCTGGGTGGAGAATTTGCTTTGGGTGGAAGGTGGGGACATCAGGTGCCAGCAGTGTAGAGTGCCCAGGGGGTAATGCACCCATAAACGGGGAAGCCGCCCCCATCAGTACCCCAGGCCTTGTGGTGCTCACTGCCTCCCTCTCTCCCTGCAGACCCTGATGGGGCTCTCCTGCTACCAGCACCTGCGCCTGCTGATCTGCAGCCTCTTCGTGCCCAAGTGCACGCCGGACGGGGGCGTCCTGCAGCCCTGCCGCTCCGTGTGCCTGACGGCAGAGCAGCGCTGCCAGCAGGCCCTCAGCCTCCTCAGCATCCTCTGGCCCATCAACTGCAATGTCCTCCCTGACTCCAACGACCCCGTGGAGTGCTTCAAGCCATGAGGGGGAGGTGGGGCCCGGCGAGTGGAAGGGTGGGGCTGGCTCTTCCCGCCCCAGCCAGGCCAGAGACGCGACCTGTCTGGCTTTGGGGTGGGTGGAGACTCGAACCCTTCTCTGAGCTATGCCCTCCCCTTCCAACGCGTTTCCCTTCAGGGACCTGAGGACATGGGGAGAGCCTGTGGGGCCTAGGAGCCCCAAATAAAGGTGCTGGAGAAGAAACCACCCACCCTGAGACTGGGAGCCTGCTGCCCCATAACTCCCCATGGTGTCCCCCATAACAGTCCCCTGTGGGAGCCACCAGGGCTGGCCCTAAGTGCCCAGAATGCGAGTGACTGGCTGCTGGGGTCCCCACACTGCATAGCCACAGCACTTCGGCAACGTCTGGCCCCATCTCCCCAGTCCTGTAGTGGGGTCAAAGGGTCCGCCAGCTCGTGCCTTCTCACCCACCACATCCTCCGATACACCCCGTCCTACACCCCCTGCATGACCGAGGGAAAAGAAAAAACAAATACTTCTTTGACTCAGTTTCCCCATCTGTAAAATGGAGACAATGCTACTTCCCTAACAACCAGGGGGTTGTAAGGATAAAAGCATAGCTACATGGGGCCCTGTTGTGATGGCGGGGGCCATAGAAGTACCTAGGTAGATGAATGACAAAAAACACCTTAAGAAATGGCACCTACCCCAGCATCACGCTTCGTTTTACAAACCTTCCGGTGCCCGAGCCTCTAACTTGACATCTCATCTGGGCAGCAGGGGGCTGGAGGGCTGCTTCCCCAATGCCACGGCAGCTTAAGACATAGCACCCATTGGCACACTTCAGTTCCTTGGCCCAGTTCTGGCACCGGACAGCTGTCTTTCCACCTTACCCGAATGCCACTTGTACACAGGGTAAAGAGTTAATCAGCTCACCACGCAGACCTGCAGGCTAAGGCAAGGGCCAGTGCACTGTGTTCCACTTGACTTGGCTGGCAGTGCCTGGGGTGCTGGCCAGAACAGCAGCGTGGGCTCCAATGCCCTTGGCACGACTCTGTGTGTCTAATAAACAGCTGCAGCATTTTGCAACTACAACCTTTCAAATAATAATTTGGCTTCACACTCTCCTGGGAGGGCAGGTCAATATTACCCCCAGGTCAGCACTGGGGAAGCTGAGGCACCGAGAGGGGAAATTATTTGCCTGCAGGTCAGGGGCAAGGCCAGGAGCAGAACCCAGGGGAAGCCCATGTATGAATCCCCTGCTCTAAGCACTGGAATATGCCTGGGCTGGGCGAAATCACTGGAAGGGGTCCCTGGGAACCGAGACCTAAGGGGTCCTTGGACAAGGAGCTGGGGAGTGAGAGCAGGAGCCCTTGTCTCTCTGAAGCAGACAGGGCTCATAGCCAGGGCTCCACCAAATTCACAGTCCATTTTGGTCAATTTCACCGTCATAGGATTTTAAAAATCGTAAATTTCATGATTTCAGCTATTTAAATCTGAAATGTCACCCTGTTGTAATTGTAGGGCTCTGACCCAAAAAGGGGGGGGGGGGGGGTCACAAGGTTATTGTGGGAGGGGTTGCGGGACTGCTACCCTTACTTCTGCGCTGCTGCTGCTGGCGGCGGCTCTGCCTTCGCACTGGGCAGCCGGAGAGGGGCAGCTGGTGGCTGAGAGCCCAGCGCTGAAGACAGAGCCGCTGCCATCAGCAGCGCAGAAGTCAGGGTGGCCTGGGCTGGTACATGCTGCCGCTGGCGGGCGCTGCCTTCAGAGCTGAGCTCCCCGCAACAGCTGCCGCTCTCCGGCCGGCCAGCGCTGGGGGGCAGTGCAGAAGTAAGGTGACAATACCCCGCAACTCCCTTTTGGGTCAGGACCCCCAATTTGAGAAACGCTGGTCTCCCGCCCTGAAATCTGTATGGTACAGGGTAAAAGCACATAAAAGACCAGATATCACAGTCCATGATGCATTTTTCATGGCCGGGAATTTGGTAGGGCTCATAACAGGGCTGGGCTGGGCTGCGGCGGGGTGGGGGGGAGAGGTGTTGTTTGGGAGATCCAAAAGCCAAGGAGATAGGATCTAGGCCCCTTTGTTATCCGAAGCCCTCCCATTTCAGGGGTGAGTGGGTACGGGGTTCCTGGCTGTGCATCAGTCTGGGCCCATCTCACCCAGAGCAAAGTGGGGGTATTCTCCCTCAGCTGTAAATACTGAACCCCTCCCCAAGCTGGAGAGGGTGGGAAGAACTGGGGTGGGAGGGGGCTCCACTCCCGAAGAAGGGGAAGGTGGATTCTGCTCTGGAGCAGGGGCAGGCCGTAGCTGGAGCTGCCAGCTGGGTTTGGACTCCTGGCCTGACTCCTGACCACTCCACTAAGGTTGGCTGTGCCTTAAAGCCACAAACAAGCTTCTCCTGACCAAAGACAACATCCTGTTTTCCCATCCACTGGGAGGATCCGCAGGCCAGTGCAGCTGGCTGAACACCACCCCTGTGATCTCAAACGCTGGTACAGCCACCCACCAGGCCTGGGATGTCCGCTGGGAAGGGCACAGAGGGGCTATCTCTCCATAGGCTCAGAGCAGGGCTTCCCTCTGCTAGAGCACAGCACCTGGGAACCCCTGGCACGCAGACGTGACCGCGCCCTCCCCCCACTCATGCACAGCTCCCAGGAACCCCTGGCACCGAGACGTGACCAAACCCTCCCCGCACTCGTGCACAGCTCCCAGAAACCCCTGGCACCGAGACGTGACCAAACCCTCCCCGCACTCGTGCACAGCTCCCAGAAACCCCTGGCACCGAGACGTGACAGCCCTCTTCCCCCACTAGTGCACAGCTCCCAGGCACCCCTGGCACCGAGACATGACTGCGCCCTCCCCCCACTGGTGCACAGCTCCCAGAAACCCCTGGCACCGAGACGTGACAGCCCTCTTCCCCCACTAGTGCACAGCTCCCAGGCACCCCTGGCACCGAGACATGACTGCGCCCTCCCCCCGCTGGTGCACAGCTCCCAGGCTCCAAGACGTGACCACACCCTCCCCCCACCGGTGCACAGCTCCCAGGAACCCCTGGCACCAAGATGTGACCACAACCTCCCCCCGCTCGTGCACAGCTCCCAGGATCCCCTGGCACCGAGACGTGACCGCGCCCTCCCCCCGCTCGTGCACAGCTCCCAGGATCCCCTGGCACCGAGACGTGACCGCGCCCTCCCCCCGCTTGTGTACAGCTCCCAGGAAACCCTGGCACCGAGACGTGACCGCACCCACCCCCCACTGGTGCACAGCTCCCAGGAACCCCTGGCACCGAGACGTGACCGCGCCCTCCCTCCACTGGTGCACAGCTCCCAGGAACCCCTGGCACCGAGACGTGACCGCACCCACCCCCCCACTGGTGCACAGTTCCCAGGATCCCCTGGCACCGAGACGTGACCGTGCCCTCCCCCCACCGGTGCACAGCTCCCAGGCACCCCTGGCACCAAGATGTGACTACACCCTCCCCCCACCGGTGCACAGCTCCCAGGCACCCCTGGCACTGAGACGTGACCACACCCTCCCCCCGCTCGTGCACAGCTCCCAGGAACCCCTGGCACTGAGACGTGACCGCGCCCTCCCCCCGCTCGTGCACAGCTCCCAGGATCCCCTGGCACCGAGACGTGACCGCGCCCTCCCCCCGCTTGTGCACAGCTCCCAGGAAACCCTGGCACCGAGACATGACTCCGCCCTCCCCCCACTGGTGCACAGTTCCCAGGATCCCCTGGCACCGAGACGTGACCGCGCCCACCCCCTGCTCGTGCACAGCTCCCAGGCACCCCTGGCACCAAGATGTGACCACAACCTCCCCCCGCTCGTGCACAGTTCCCAGGATCCCCTGGCACCGAGACGTGACCACGCCCTCCCCCCGCTCGTGCACAGCTCCCAGGAACCCCTGGCACCATGATGTGACCACACCCTCCCCCCACTGGTGCACAGTTCCCAGGCACCCCTGGCACCAAGATGTGACCACACCCTCCCCCCACCGGTGCACAGCTCCCAGGCACCCCTGGCACCAAGATGTGACCACACCCTCCCCCCACTGGTGCACAGTTCCCAGGCACCCCTGGCACTGAGACGTGACCGCGCCCTCCCCCCGCTCGTGCACAGCTCCCAGGATCCCCTGGCACCGAGACGTGACCGCGCCCTCCCCCCGCTTGTGCACAGCTCCCAGGAAACCCTGGCACCGAGACGTGACCGCACCCTCCCCCCAGCTTGTGCACAGCTCCCAGGAAACCCTGGCACCGAGACGTGACCGCGCCCTCCCCTCACTGGTGCACAGCTCCCAGGATTCCCTGGCACCGAGACGTGACCGCGCCCACCCCCCACTGGTGCACAGTTCCCAGGATCCCCTGGCACCGAGACGTGACCGTGCCCACCCCCCGCTGGTGCACAGTTCCCAGGATCCCCTGGCACCGAGACGTGACCGCACCCACCCCCCACTGGTGCACAGTTCCCAGGATCCCCTGGCACCGAGACGTGACAGCGCCCTCCCCCCGCTCGTGCACAGCTCCCAGGAACCCCTGGCACCAAGATGTGACTGCAACCTCCCCCCGCTGGTGCACAGCTCCCAGGAACCCCTGGCACCGAGACGTGACCGCACCCACCCCCCACTGGTGCACAGCTCCCAGGAACCCCTGGCACCAAGATGTGACCACAACCTCCCCCCACTGGTGCACAGCTCCCAGGAACCCCTGGCACCGAGACGTGACCGTGCCCTCCCCCCGCTCGTGCACAGCTCCCAGGATCCCCTGGCACCGAGACGTGACCGCGCCCTCTCCCCGCTCGTGCACAGCTCCCAGGATCCCCTGGCACCGAGACGTGACCACGCCCTCCCCCCACTGGTGCACAGCTCCCAGGATCCCCTGGCTCCGAGAAATGACCACAACCTCCCCCCACTGGTGCACAGCTCCCAGGAACCCCTGGCACCGAGACGTGACCGCGCCCTCCCCCCCGTGCACAGCTCCCAGGATCCCCTGGCACCGAGACATGACCGCGCCCTCTCCCCGCTCGTGCACAGCTCCCAGGATCCCCTGGCACCGAGACGTGACCACGCCCTCCCCCCACTGGTGCACAGTTCCCAGGAACCCCTGGCACCGAGTCGTGACTGCGCCCCCTGTGCTACATTACAGCTCACAACCTCATTCTGCCTTTGCATATTGCAATAACGCCTTGTTGCCAAGTCTCAGGAGAGATAAGAAGCAGCACCGCCTTTCCAAAGAAGCCCTGCCCGGTTCAGAGGGAGGACCATGGGGGGTGTTTCTACAAATTCCATCCTTTGCAGTTCTAGTTTTGTTGCACACAATAAGTTACACATTAAAAATATTAAAATAATACGTGTGTGCACTTCCATGATTTAAAAAGGTCATTCTCACTCTTTCCATCCTCCGTGCTCTCTGTTGCCTCAGTGTGGTACATTCCCGTGTTGAATCGCTGGAGCATATCCTGGTGGGGGACAAAAAATTCGAACATAGGATGTGTCAAGGGGCGGGCCACTAAGTTCATGTGTTTGGGTGTGTTTTCTTCATTGAACGGGAGCGGGGATAGGAGGATTCTCAAATTCTAAGGAAGTGTATCACCCTGAAACTGCTCATCACGCCTACAACCACTTTTAAACTATAGCCTTGTGTTGAAGTCACCTATTGCAAAAAAGCCCGAGTAAGCACCCTCCAAAGGAAACAAGCCCCAAACCCCTGCAATCCGCAACTCTCAAAATATTTAAGCCGCTTTTTGTAAAAAAAACAAGCCCACCAGAGTAAAACCTGCTGCACATGTCCACAGGAGGGGGAGAGAGAATTTTTCACTCTATCTACTTCTGGGGGGCAGTGGAGGAATTGTTACTGGTGTCAGGAAATCAGGCAGATGGACTGTTTCAGCCCAATGCCCAGTTGTGTGTTTTCTCTATCTGGAGGGTCTGTCTCTAGCTCTGAGAGTGGCCCATTCAGTTCTTAGCCTCTGCTACAATTGCCAAAAGGAGGCAGTGTGACCGAGCAGTTAGAGCGGGACTGGGACTTCAGGGGTCTATTCCCAGCTCCGCTGCAGACTGTCTGGAGAAGCCACGTGACTGTCCCCTGCCTCTGTTTCCCCACCTGTAAAATGAGGATGCTGAAGCTGACCTGCCTCCCAGTAGGGTTGTGAGGATCAGTGTACAGCTGAAAGCAATAGACCAGGACAGAGTCTCGCTGTCATTAATTTCTGCTAGGGGTGAGCCAGGCTTTTCAGTGATGGGGACACAAACCCTTTGGGCACACAGGTCTTTGGCTGGCTGCTTCCCCAGGGAATTCTCCTTGGCCGGAGAACCTCTTCCCCCAACCCTATGGCAGGCAGAGCTGGGGCGAGAGCCGCTTGGGCTCCGCTCAGAGCTGAAATGAGTTAAATAAGCGTTTCAAAGGCCTGCCTCAGGCACTGTGTCCCGTGCTCCAGCGATGGGGGAGAGAGAACTTCACTCACACCTATACTGGCTGCCCTGGTGGTTTCCTCCATGTTCCCGGCCTGCTGGCAGCATTGCGTCTCTGTATCCATCTGCAGAGCTGGCCGTGGCCTATTCCCTGGGATTGCGGGCACTCACAGATCAGCCGCACCGACTCCTGCTGACGCTCAGCCCCAGCTCCCAGAGCTCAGCATACCCTGGAGCTTGGGAGCCCCAGGCCCTGGGCGAAGGGGAGCACGGGGGCTTTATAGCCAGCCTCCCGGCAGAAAACTCCAGCCTGTGGAAGCGATCAGGGACCTTGCTGGGCTCCCAGTGTTGCTGCTGTCTGTCCGGCTCGCCTGCTGTCCAAGGAGAAACCTGCAGCGACCTGGGGAGCTGACAGAGAGAAATGTGAGCCCAGGCCAAGTAAAAGGTCTCACGCGGCCTCTGGAACCACAAGGCTTTGGCCGGTGTTTCACATAAGTAGGGGAGAGTGTTTGCGTGTTGTGCCAGTGAGGGTGTGACCCCCGCATGCATGTGTGCACCCCACGTTTGTGTGTTGTGCTGATGGGTGCGTGGCTCAGCGTTAGTGGGTCTGTGCGTGTGGTCCGTGGCTTTAGAGGTGCGTCTGTGGGTAGTCTGTGGGTAGTGCATGCCATGTGGTCTTTGCTGCTCGCGTGTGTGACGTGTACAGTAACAATCGGTGCGTGGAGTGTGTCCCGTGCGTGGAGTGTGTCCCGTCCGTGGGTGTGTGGTTTAGTTCGTGTCTCATGATGTCCCTAAGCAGGACTGAATTGCGGGAGCCCTCACACCCTTTGGTCTTTACTCCCACAGCCTCTCCTCCTCCAAGACCTTCCACAAAACACCTGCCTAGCCCAGACACCCCAGTGTTCCCCTCCAAGAGGCCGGTTTTTGGCTTGTTTCGCATTCCCCCTCCTTCCCCAGCCCTGTCACTGGGCTCCGCTCCGCCCAGAGAAAGCACCACAAAAATGAACCAGCCGGTTTCTGGTATGGCAGCACTCTCCACAGCACAAAGACTGGCCTGATGCTTCCAGAATGGGGGAGCTGACATATTCATGGCTACTTGGGTGAACTAGAGGATGTGAGCCACCTCCTTCACCCTCCTCTCACTTTTCCTGTCTTTCCCTGTTCTGCCATTCCCCTCTCTCCTTTTCTTTCTCTGCCTCTTTCCCTCAGCAGCTCCTGCAGGGTGATGTGTTAAGTCAAGGGGTTTTTCGAGTCAGGTCTGTGGTTCTGTCTCTCCCGCCCTCCTCCCACTGGTGACAGCATTTCCGACACTGAGATTTTTTTCCCCTCCTCTTGTAGCTCTTGGCTCTGAAAGTCACTGATTTCCTTTGGAGTTTGGGAGGAGAGACACAAGGAGGGGAAGGGGTGCGGGAGAGAGACAGCCTTTCCTCGGAGCTGAAGTGGTCAGGAAGAGCTCACAGGACAAGGGGACGCAAAGCCGGCGCAGCAAGAGAGCCAGGATACACAGTAAGTAAAGCTAACCAGCTCCAGCTGCTCCTAACAAAGTTGATGGTGTAGCTATGCGGCCAGACGGGCCATGGGATTTCCCTTAGCAACTCGGCCAGGCCCGGGAGCTCGGCTGGGTCCCAACTCCAGTCATGACACATTCCAGCGGCAGGCTCTGTTTTCCTTCTTTCCCTTTTATTTGGAGAAAGTGGCCTGCAGGAGTCCGGAAGGGGAGAGACCTGCTCCCCAGTGGATCCCTGCTTACCCGGGCGCTCCGAGCCAGGCTGGGGAGAGGCCTGTATGTGGCAATGCAGGGGAAGCCAATGCTGAAGTGAGTTGGATAGCAGCCCTGCTTGGGGGAGAGGGGAATACTAGCCTTGCAGGCAGGGGGAAGGGCTGGATTCTGGACCCGCTGGGAGGGTGGTAATGCTGCAGAAGCTGGGAGGGTGTCCCCACACTCCACAGCCTTGGGGGGCGGGGAGAGGTGCTACCCTGCCTCTGGGTGCGGTGCTGAAGCCCCTGGGTAATGCACCGTGGAGCCGGGAAGGGACCACAGTTGCCAACTTTCATGCTGTAAATAAGCACCCCGACTTTCACAATAAGTCAAAAATCAAGCTAAGCCCATTTCAAAACAAGGCCAAAACAAGCCAATCCCTAAGAACCCCAACACTCTAGATCCCCCCATCCCCCCCGGTGTGAGTCAGGGACTGTGGTGGGCCCACTGTGCACACCTGGCTCTCTCCCCTCCTTGCCCCTGCTTGCCGGGAGCCTATCAAAAAAAAAGAAGCAACAAGCTACAACAAGCAATAACCTACAAGCCAAAAACTAGCCAACAAGCAACTCACAAGCCAATTAAGCCAAAAACAAGCCCAGTTTCTGGTTTTTTTCGAGGGTCTGGAAGGGTCCTGGCCTCACGCCCCGTGTGAAGGGAGAGTTAGGAGCATGGGAGTCACCGTCAGCACAGCAGGAGCCCCCTTGGGGAATGAGCGCAGCGTGCGGGGCAGAGGGACCCCTAAAGCAGCAGTTCTCAACCAGGAGTCCGGGGCCGTCTGGGCGGCCGCCAAGCAGGGCCAGTGTTAGACTCCCTGGAGCCCAGGGCAGAAAGGCGAAGCCCCGCTGTGCAGAGCTGGAGCCCGGGGCCCTGAGCTTTGCCACCCGCAGCTGCAGTTGAAGCTTGAGCAGCTTAGCTTTGCGGGGCCCTGTGTGACGTGGGGCCCCAGGCAATTACCCTGCTTGCTACCCCTGAACCCCGGCCCTGGCTTTTCTGTGCAGAAAACCAGGTGTGGCTGCACAGCTGGGCCAGGGAGTTTTTATAGCATGTTGTACGGGGGGTGAGGGGGCTCAGAAAGGAAAACGTTGAGAACCCCTGCCCTAGAGGGCAGGAAATAGAGACAGGATCCTTGACCACAGCCCACAACCACCCACACATCCCACACTCACAACCCAGGACACACACAGCCCACTACCAACCACACACCCCACACTCACAACCCAGGACACACACAGCCCACTACCAACCACACACCCCACAGCTCACAACCACCCACACACTTCACATTCACAACCCATGACACACACATCCCACAACCACTCACACACCCCACAGCCCACAACCCATGACTCACATAGCCCACAACCACCCACACACCCCACAGCGCATAACCACCCACACACCCCACACTCACAACCCACGATACACAGCCCACAACCAGCCACACACCCCACATCCCACAACCACTCACGTAAGCCACAGCTCACAACCACCCACACGCCCTACAGCTCACAAGTGACAGACGCAGCCCACAACCACTCACACACCCCACAGCTCACAACCCATGACACACACAGCCCACAACCCCCACAGCTCACAACCAGTGACACACACAGCCCACAACCACCCACACACCCCACAGCTCACAACCCATGACACACACACCCCACAACTCATAACCCATGACACATACAGCCCACAAGCACCCATCCACCCCACAGCCCACGACCACTCACACACCCCACAGCTCACAATCACCCACACACCCCACGCTCACAACCCATGACACACACAGCCCACAACCACCCACATCTCACAACTACCCACACGCCCCATGTTCACAACCCATGACACACAGCCCACAGCCACCCACACGACCCACAGCTCACAACCCACCATGCACCTACCCACCGCATAGCTCATAGAACACTATCCACACAACTCACACACACACACATACCCCTTCCAGCCCAGCACACACACCTGGCCCATTTAGCCCATTGTCCTCCCTCCTGTCATGCCATAGTTCCCAGATACCCTGGTGAGGGGCAGATTGGACTGGACTGACTGGGCTCGTGGCCTACCCAGGCCAGTATCCCATACCTCCCTTCTGGGCCGGATCGCTGGTCCATCAAGTCCAGTGTCCAGCATCTCTGGTACCTAAGCTCAGTCGGAGCGTTGCTGTGGAGTGAGGGGAACCTACAGCCCACAGACCCTAATCAGAGCTGTCAAGCCAGGGCCTCCACCTCTCAGCCTGCTAGAGACATAATGGTTCACTCTGCTCCCAGCCCCTCCACGGCAGCTGAGATGAAGCAGCTCCTCTTCCTCTTCGGGCTGATCGCCAGTTCCATCCAGATTGAGGACAACAAGATCCCGAGCCTGTGCTCTGGGCAGCCCGGCATCCCAGGCACGCCCGGCAGCCATGGAAGCCAGGGTCTTCCAGGCAGAGATGGACGTGACGGCCGGGACGGAGTGGCCGGGACGCAGGGAGAGAAGGGAGAGATCGGGCAACCCGGTAAGGAGACCTCCCTGCTGGGGAATGCACCTGGAACTGGAGCCCTGCTCCCCGTGAAGGAGGATCCAGTGGTAGACCCATGGCTACCACACTAGAGCAGTTGGGTTAACCAGCCAACCAGATAGATCCAAAGGGGCTAAGCACCAGGTGCAAAGTCCCTGGGTCTCAGTCTTTATCCTTTGAGGGGGAATAAATAAGATGCCATGTAGTTGATGTGAGGGGGGAGTAGGTCCTGTCTGCTCTGTTTGGTATCCATGACATGCAACCAGGGGCACAGATCCCATGGTGATGGGTGTATCACGAATTAGATCCAGAGATGGATGGGCTGGCTGGTTATTAGTGGCTCCAGTGTACTGGGCCTCTCTCCTGCCCCCTGTAATGTTCTCTCTCCTCGCCCTCAGGAGTCCCAGGTCCCCGAGGGGACAGCGGCAGCCCCGGCATGAATGGTCTGACTGGGGAGAAGGGGGCTCAGGGGGAGTGCGCGGTGGCTCCCCGCTCAGCCTTCACCGCCAAGCGCTCGGAGTCACGCAGCCCACCCCTGGCGGACCAGCCCATCCGCTTCGACGTGGTGCTGATCAATGAGCAGGGCCACTATGACGCGGACACGGGCAAGTTCACCTGTGAGATCCCCGGCGTCTACTACTTCGCTGTCCACGCCACCGTGTACCGCACCAGCCTGCAGTTTGACATCATGAAGAACGGCCATTCGGTGGCCTCCTTCTTCCAGTTCTACGGCAACTGGCCCAAGCCCACGTCACTGTCAGGCGGCGCCCTGGTGCGCCTGGAGCCGGAGGACGAGGTGTGGGTTCAGGTCGGGGTGGGTGACTACTTCGGCTTCTACTCCAGCATCAAGACGGACAGCACCTTCACCGGCTTCCTGGTGTACACCTACTGGCAGAACTCAGCTGTCTTCGCCTGAGACCCGAGCTGCCCGGGGCGGGGGGAGCGATTGAGAAGTGCCGTCCCCGCGGCGCACAGCCCAAACCCCATCACGTCCCCTGGGGAGGGACCCCCAAGAGGCATCAGGGTCCAGTGGCCTAAGCATGGTGGGTTCTTCACCATTAACGCTTCCCACTTCCCACTAATGCGTACAGTGGGGATAATGATGCTTCCCTACCCCGGGGGGCGGGGAGGGCGCTGTGAGGATTCATTAGTTAGTACTGCATAAGAGCTAAGTGTTCCTATTATCACTGGTGCATGAAGTTTGGGAGGTCTCAGCCCAGCCCATCTCCTGGCTCCTTGAGGCACGCGCTGTCTGTGCAATGTAGACGCAAGGGCATGGTTATTGTATGTCACTGCCCATAGCCATTTAGTATTGAAGCATATTCCCGGTGGTGTGAGCGCTGCATCCCAGCAGGACTGGGCAGCATCCGCGGCACAAACCCCCCAGTGTCTGTGGGGCTCACTCGCCGCATCTCAGCAGAGATTCCAAGGGCTGGGTAGGCCGTGGGCACTGAACTCCCGGCATATTGCTGGGGCTGCACCCTCCCTGCTCTGAACAAAAACAGGGCTCTTCAGGGGCTTCCAATGAACAGACCCAGACCCTCAGCTGCTGTAAATCACACAGCTCCTCTACGGAGCTTCAAGACTGTACGCCGGCTGAGGATCTGGCTGGATCTTCTTCCCACTTACACCCATGGGGATACAGAGAAACCCCATTGAAGCCAACGTGGGAGCTCCAGGTGGACCCGGTTACAATGGACTGGACCCTGCTCCCACTGAGTGCTGCCATTTGACAAGCAGACACCACATGTGGCCTGACTCCAGTACCCGCTGGACCTGCTCCAAGCACACCCTGCATAGGGCCGCGGCTGGGACGTGGAGCAGGAGCTGGGTTGACAGGCGGCAGGTTTGCCAGCTAAGTCACCCAACCTCATCTGTGCTAGGAGCAGGGACCACCCTGCTTTCATGCCACCCAGACGTCGCTCTCACAGTGTATATGACCTCCCTCAATAAACGGGCTCTTAACTGTTCGTCAGCTTGCTAGCGTGTCTGCTCTGGAACGCGTGTCAGGACATGATCATATGTTTGGGTTCTTGGACATTCATCAAAGCTTGTTAGCATGTTGTATGCCCGTCAGGGCATGTTTGTGTGCCTCATCTGCATGCTCACCAGGGCAGGTCTGTATTACCAGCTCACGAATGCATGACCGAGTGTCATGTGTTTTCTCTTGTATGCAAGACTAAGTGTGTTAGGATCTTCTCTTGTATGCATGTTAGTGCATGTTAGCCTGTGTTGGCTCCTGTGTGCACATCAGGGCATTCGCATGTGTCCGCTTTTTTGTGTCTTTCCTTGTATGTGAGTCAGGGCCAGTTTCTGTGTCTTCTCTCCCAGGTAGGTTAGGGTGTTAGCATGTCAGCTCTTTTCCGCGTGTCAGGACAGAGGGATGCCAGCAGCAAGCCCCATTTACAGACACTTTTGTCAACGCTGCCTGCTCCTGCAGGCAAAGGCTGTCCCTGCTTGCACCCAAGCTGGCAAGGCCATGCCCTTGTGCTTTGTTGGCTCCGGCGCAGTTTTGGGCAGATGCACAGAGCCCTCTCTCCCCTAGGGGGCACCAGCTCCCCACATTGGGCGGGTTCTTGGGCAAAAGCATCAATTCAGCAGAATATCAGGGTTGGAAGGGACCTCAGGAGGTCATCTAGTCCAAACCAATCCCCAATTTTTGCCCCAGATCCGTAAATGGCCCCCTCAAGGATTGAACTCACAACCCTGGGTTTAGCAGGCCAATGCTCAAACCACTGAGCTATCCCTCCCCACGACCTAGCTCCTGCTTCTGTTCATTAGCAGCCCCGCTGCCAGGGTACGACACACCCCACATTCTGCACAGCAACAGGGCATACCAGCCAGCGCCTTACTCGCCTCTCAGAGCAACCTGCCTGGTGTGGAAGTCAGGACTCCCGGGTTCTAGACCCAGCTCTGATATTGACTCATTTTGGGCATGTCGTTTTGGCCGCTCCATGCCTCAGTTTCCCTTCTCCCCTCCGCGGCTCACCCTCTTCCAAGGGCTGCCATGAGGATTAGTGGAGTTGGGAGGTGCGTTGAGATCCGGAGCTGGAACAGTGCCCTCGTTCTCTGAACTCCAGAGCTCCCCCGGAGAGTGACGCCTGGCTCCCCTCACTGCCTCCCTGGGGGCAGGAGTTGCTGAGGCAGCACTGTCTTACTTCCCTTCCCTCTCTCCCCTTGCAGATTTCCAGTGTGAATGTTGTGACCTGGCTCAGGAAAAGGTCCCTATTTTTAGCAAGGGAAGGAAGAGCCATCTGCGCTTCTGTCCAAGATAGCCCTGGTGCTACTTTTCTAAATTCCGCTGGATCGCGCCCAGCTGGGGACTGCTTCCCATTGTGAGAGCATGGAAGGGGGATGGCAAATGAGTCTGGGCCCTGTGAGCTCCCAGGGGGGGAACAGGCATCATAGATCTCCCCGAGAGGACAGCTGTGTTCATCCAGCCTGAGCTCATGTGGGTCACAGGCCTGAGAATCAGGGCTGCCCAGACAGGGAGCAGAGCATGGGAAGAGGCAATGCATTTCATCCGCCTCTCGCCTGCCTGCCCTGCTCAGGTGGTGGGCTCATTACATGACCTGCCAAGCTAAGCAGTGCTAGAGAGCGCCAACAGATGGTGGGTATTAAAACACTGCAGGGGATAGCACCCAGCCGTCTGTGTGCAGTGCCCAGGTGCCAGACTGAATGCTTCATGCCCCCCATCATGAAAAAGCAGAGTTTGATTCTGTCACTTAAAAGACCCTCCCAAGAAGCCACTCGGGCTCAGGAACGAGCCAGGCCCACAGAACAGGGAGGGGAGCAGTGTTGGGGGGCAGGAGAGAAATTGCTAATGTGGGGCATTGACAGCGTGATCTGGGAAGGGGGACGTGGCAAGGGAGTGTGGCCAAGCGGGTAGAATGAGTGGGAGATCAGACTCCTGGGTTCTATCTCCAGTCATGGGAAGGAGTCAAAGGGCTGCAGTGATTAGAGATGGGGCCCTGGGAGGCAGGACTCCTAAGTTCTCTCCCAACTCTGGGAGTTGAAGGTGGTCTGAGCAGGAGAAAGTTAGAACTCAGACTCCTGAATTCTTGTCCTGGCTCTGTTACTGCCACCATTGTGGAGGGTTCAGGTACATTTTGGGGTTGGTTGAGGGGAGAGTTAGAGAATAAGAATGAATTGGGGAAACCCTAACAACATCTTATTGACAGGTTTCAGAGTAACAGCCGTGTTAGTCTGTATTCGCAAAAAGAAAAGGAGTACTTGTGGCACCTTAGAGACTAACCAATTTATTTGAGCATAAGCTTTCGTGAGCTACAGCTCACTTCATCAGATGAGCTGTAGCTCACAAAAGCTTATGCTCAAATAAATTGGTTAGTCTCTAAGGTGCCACAAGTACTCCTTTTCTTTTTGCGAACATCTTATTGGTGGTGTATCTCCCAAGCTACGCCCTGCTGCAGTCGGTGATGGCCTCAGAGCTCCACAAGAGGGCACCCCTCTCCTCCTATGAGCACATCCGGCAGCCTTAGGTTTCCAGGTGGCCTGGGGACGAGGAGCAGGGCCCCATGGGGAGGCGAGAGGCCCAGAAAGCTGGGGGGGGGGGTCTGACAAGGAGCCAGTTTGCAGGGAAGAGGGCTGGGGTCAGGGGCTAAGAGCAGGATGCCCAGGAGTGGGAAGAAGGCAGCAGGGTGGTGGTACATGTTCCTCCCTGCTGAGGATAGAAGTTGGGCGTGGAGGGTGCTGGCCAGCTGTGATGGCTGCTGGACAGGCAGGTCCTGAGGCTCTGGGCATAGACAGACACCCCATGCCCTGTACCACCTCCATGTCCCTGAGCTGCAGGCTCTGAAAGCAGCCTGGGAGCATACACTGGGTCTGGGAAGGAGCATGGGCTAGTGCTTAGAGCGGTAACTGTGAGCCAAGCCTGCTGGGTTCTGTCTCCACCGCCCAAGACTCCTCTACCCCCAGTCCTTTCCCTAACCTCCTAACCAGAAAAGCCATATTCTGTGCCCTGCCTGGTCTGTTCTGCAGCCCCCATTCCTGGGCCAGGGTCCCCCATGGGGCCAGCCCAACAAGGTGCCCCCTGGCCTTACCTCTTAGCCTCCCAGAGTCCCTGGCTGTGATGAGCCAAGAGGCAGAACGCGCCTCAAGGAAATATTAGCCCAAGGTCAATAAGCCACCCCTGCTCTGGTTACCTGCCCAGAGGGGAGCTAGGCAGCAGGACAAACGGATGGGGGGGCGGGGAGGAGCCAGGGCTGCTGCCTATGGGGAGAGGGGCTAGGATCATTATCCAGGGTATGGGCACTTCCTACCTCCCCACTGATCCTCCCCAAGGCCCCAGGCCAGCACACACTGCCCTAAAGAGCTGGAGGGAACCCTGCCAGCCAGTGCTGGGGAGCTCCTAGCGCTGCAGTCCCAGGCCCCCCCAGTAGGAGGCACTGGAGGGAATGGCACTGGGGCATTGACCATAGGAGAGCACTCTGCTGCTCCACCCCCAGGGTCCCCCAGCAGGAGGCGCTGGCAGAAAGTGTCTCTCCCTTCCCCATCCCAGCTATGAACGCCAGGGGTCTGTGTCCCTCTGCTATGCTAGCTGGCAGATCACCTCTGTCTGCAGAGAGGAAGGCTGGGAAGAGGGGGCAACAGCACCTGGAGCCATCCCAGGGAGGAGAGCTCTCTCTGGGGACTTGTCAGATGCCTCATAGCAGGGGCTGCCATGGGCTGAACAGCCCCTTCCCACTGTCCAGCTGAGTCCCAGGGGGGTTTGCAGATTAAGCCAAAGTTGGGGCCCAGGCTGAGGAGCACAACATCCCCTGCTAGGTGACCGGAGGCCCCTTTGGGGCAGGCTACAACCTCAACCCACAGCAAGAGGGAATAGGGCCGCCTGCACCTGACTGGGGGCTGTGTTCGGGCTTAGTAGGGGCTCTGTCACAGGGTGCTTGACTCACCACCAGAGCGCCTCCTTCTGGCCATATCTGGGGATGAGCTCTGTGAGTCAAAACCCCTTCCTGCAGGGGACACTCCATCACTCCTCTGGGGCTGGCTCTCTCAGGACTTGACTGCTCCCACTTCACGACTTGCCCCTTCCCAGGTCACTGTAGTTTCCCCTGCCAGGAGGGGCACGTTCTCAAAGTGTCTCAGGACCCACCATCCCGGGCAGTTTTCCCTTTCATGGCCCCTTAACAGCACCACCGCGCTGTGGCAGAGCAGCCCTCTACACTGGGTTCCAGCCCAGGACCCTACAACAAGCAGCCAGGGCCTGCACAATTCTGAACCATACTGCTATATCCCTAAACTACAGCCTGCCTCTCCTTCCCTCACCCAGAGAGGCTACAGGCCCCTTAGGTAGGCAAGCTCCTGGGCTTTATATGGGCCCCTCCTGTTCCTGTCCAGCTGAGCCTCATCCCTAATTAATTCTTGCTCTGCTCCTTGGTGCAGCCTGAGCTGGTAACTGGCCCAAGTGGCCAGGCCTTGTGTGGAGTGGACACCCCATCACAGGCCCATGGGCCGCATAGGATCTTACAGGAATGGGTGTCACTCAGGGTCCCATTTGGCTCATGTCTGTCCTGAGACATAGAAATTGCTGCTTGTTAGAATCCCTGCAGCCAACACCTGTGGGTACAGGCTGGTGGGCTGCATGGCAGGTCTTTGGGGTCCCATACTGGACCCCTGGGCTGCCCCTGAGCAAAGCCCCCGGAAAGGGAACGCAGGACCCGAGCAACTCTGGACCAAGGGCTCACTGCATTAGCGAAAGCAAGTCTGGCTTCAGCGGCTGCTCCCTGCAAAAGGGCCTGGAGCCGCTGCGTCTAGCTGCTGGTGTGAAATGAGCCAGAGGCCAGGCCTGGCTGGGAGCCATTCTCCCCTGTGGAATGAGCTGGGCAGGTCTCAGTCCAGTTCCTAGCAGCCGCAGAACCACTGGCGCTAACTGGGCCTGAGTCAGGAGCGGGCCAAGGGCTGAGCAGGCCACGGGGACGGACCTGCCCTCTCTCCCCAGAGATGCGTCTCC